CCCGGGTTCGATCCTCAGCACCACATACCAACAAAGATGTTGTGTCCGCTGAGAACTAAAAAATAAATATTAAAAAATTCTCTCTCTCCCCTCTCTCACTCTCTCTTTTAAAAAAATAAATAAATAAAGGTGTTGTGTCCATCTACAACTAAAAAAATATTTAAAAAAAAAAAAAAGAAAACTCAGGATATCTAAAATATTGACAGATATGGCTACATAAGTCTTAAAAACTTTTGTAAGGAAAAACATGCTAAAAGACAAAAACAAAAATAGACAACAAAGTATTTCTCAAACCATTAATAAAGAATCTTTAACACATAGGAATCATTACAATATCAATAAAAATTATAAACCCTAATAAAATTGGGTAAACAAATTGTCAGATAATTCAAGAAAAGAAAATATGGACTTTTTAAAAAATGATCTTTTTTCAGTATTTGCCATTATCAATCATCTCACTGTTGTTTGTAGTTACTCTCCCCTGTTGATTGGAGTATAATTTGGTATTTTTTCCCAAGGGCAACTTGCAATAATAATCAAAAATGTCAAAATAAAAACTCTTTAACCCAGAGAGTTTTTATTTTGACATTTTTTGCCTCAAGGAATCCATAATAAAGAATCAATGGGAAAAGCTGTATGTACAAGTAGAAAATCACTACCAAATGTGCAACTGGTTGAATAATTCTCCTTCATGACATAAAATGGAATTCTGTAGAACTATTAAAAAAGAAAAATTTTTTACAAGAACAGACATCCATGATATATATTTCACATATAAAAAGGTTATGGAAGCTGGGTTGGTGGCACATGCCTGTAATCCCAGCAACTAGGGAGGCTAAGTCAGGAGGTTCATGAATTCAAAACAAGCCTCAGCAACTCAGCGAGACCCTGTCTCTAAATAAAATATTAAAAAGGGCTGGAGATGTGGTTTGCTGGTTCAACACCTCTGGATTCAATACCTGGTATGAAAAAGAAAAGGAAAAGAATATGGAAAACGACCTCATTCTTTTTTTCTTCGTGTCTTTTTTCAAATGTGAACATAGCCAGGTTCTGGGATGCTTGCCTATAATCCCGGTGGCTCATATGGCTGAAACAGGAGGATCACAAGTTCAAAGATAGCCTCAGCAATTTAGCAAGGCCCCGTCTTGAAACACAAAAAGGGCTGGGGATATTGCTCAGTGGTTAAGCACCCCTGGGTTCAATCCCTGGTACCCCCAAAATGACAAAAAGTGTGAATATATATCTATTTTTATATAAGCATTTAAAAATGTATTCTAAGGGCTGAGGGTATAGCTCTGCAGTAAAGCAGGGGCTTGTATGTGTGAGACCTTGGTTAAATCCCCAGTACCAAAAAACCCCCAAATTATTGATAGGTGTTATTATGGGAAAAAATGGGATTATGATGGAAAGATTTCCCTTTCTCTGTATTGTCTGTATAGTCTACACCAACTGTCAACTATCCGGAAAAATAAGACATTTCCATTGAAAATTAAATAAAGGGCTGGGGTTGTGGCTCAGCAGTAGAGTGATCGCCTTGCATGTGTGAGACCTGGGTTCGATCCTCAGCATCACATATAAATAAATAAGTGAAATAAAGGTATTGTGTCCAACTATAACTAAAAAATAAATGTTTTTTAAAAAAGAAAATTAAATAAAAAGTAAATAGTTGATTTAAAACTTAGAGAACTGTAAATGGAATTCTGTGTTCAATTAGATCTTTCAAAATTAAAGTTGTCTCTAGGGATATTAAAGAGCAAATGGTTCATCTGGGATAGAAAGATGTAAACAAGAGGGACATGAAGGAAGAAGTCAAGGTGAAGGAATGCAGAAGCCACAGTAAAGCCTGTCAGGGGTACCAGGTCCTTACCTCAGGTGAGGGAAGCTGAGTGGGTAGCAGCCCATCTAAGGTGGAACTCAGCAGCTGATCGTCCAGGATCTCAGTCAAATGGCGTACCATGGTCAGCTGCTGCTCCCAGGTGCAGTGGTTCTCCAGGGACAAGATGAGTGGATATTCTGATGCCTGTTGGGGGGGGGGGCATGCTACATCAGAGTTCTAAAACCCTATACCTTCCTGTTCCAGATATTTGAGTTCCTAACCCACCCTCTATTTACTCAAATTAGTACCCTGATTGTTAAATTCCTCCAACCCCATTATAGAGCTCAGTGAGAATTTGCTGGGTCTGGGGCCCACCCACAGGGACAAGATCCACATCTAAAGGTCATTTTTTGGGATCCCCAATTTCATACCTGTGCCAAGTCTAACTCAGGTCCTCTGAGACCTTTTGAGTTTTTAGGATCAGAAGGGGAGGACCAGGTCTTTATATTCTTAGACTTCATCTCCAGATTCCTAGTGTTTCCCAACCTTACTTGATACTGTTTGTTTCTTTATCTAGTCTCTCCCAGATGGGAGACTGGTTAGTACCACTATGACTACTAGTTATTAGTAACACATCCAACACTTAATTCATAATAATCCCTTAATATCTGCCCAGTGCTCTAGAGTTAAAAACCTCTCTTACATATATCATGCCATTTGCAATAACCTTCCCAGCACCCCTTCACCCTCCCCAGAACCAGAGCCAGTCACTTTTCCCTTAGGCTCTTTTGTCTCAGCCCTCTTCCCAGCCTGGGGCTACTACCTGGAAGGCATATTGTTTAACTGTGGCCACAACATCTTTGAACAGGATTCGGGAAGTCAGGGTGTGTCCGTGATAAACAATGGGTTCCCCGTTAGGTCCATCCCATACATCTACCTCCACACAGCGGCACCCACGTTTCAGGGCCCTGCAAGAACCCCAACCCCAGAAGCAGAAGAGGTCAAGTTCTGACCCTCTCCCCAATGTGGAGAGATCAATGCTCATCAGCACTTACCCATCCACACCTCTTCAAACTATGTACACTGTGTGTGTGTGTGTGTGTGTGTGTTTATTTATTTTAGTTGAAGATGGACAGCTTTATTTTATTTATTTTTATGTAGTGCTGAGGATCGAACCCAGTGCCTCACACAGGCTAAGCAAGCATTCTACTACTGAGCTACAACCCCAGCCCCTCAAGCTATGATTCTTGGATGCTTCTCTGTCCGCTTGAGGATGGCTGCAGCTCATACACCCACCCCACACCACTCACAATTCTTTTTAGCCACCTATCACACATTACTTCATGATACTCCTGGTATTCTGGTTGTATATCCCTATACAACACTTGGGTTAGTTAAGCTCTCTGCATATTTACACTTAATTTCTTCCTCTCTGTCTCTCTCTGGTGATAGGGATTGAACACAGGGCCTCACACATGCTAAGAATGTGTTCTACCACTTGGAAGTTTCACTTAATTTTGAGTAAAAGTTCCACTCATTTTCATATCCCTTGAAGCTACTAGTTGAGTTGCTAGCACTACAAAAACGTCTTGACTATTCAATCTAATCCATGATAAATCACAATAAAGGCAGCTACCACCTATTAGCTATTGACACATGGATTGTCTCATTTAATCTCCACTACAACCTGAAAAGAACAGGTACTGTTATCTCCCTATTTCATAGATAGGGATCCCAAGATATAGATAGTACCAAGTGAGGAAGCTAAGCTTTGACATCCACCCGTCTGACTCCAGAACCGACCTTTTTTTTTTTTTTTTTGGAACTAGGGATTGAATCCAAGGGCGCTTTACCACTGAACCACAGCCACAGCCCTTTTTATTTTTTATTTTGAGATAGGGTCTAAGTTGCTTAGGGTCTTGCTAAGTTGCTAAGACTAGCCTTGAACTTGCAAACTTTCTATCTCAGCCTCCCGAGTCACTGGAATTACAAGTGTGCACCACGTGCCTGGCTGCACCCATGATTTTACTCCAATGCTGTACTACTTCCTCTTTAACATTTTGCTTATTTGTTAGGGTCTCTGAGTTCCAAGAGTTTCATAGCTCAGGAAAGAGAGAAATCTCATTTACCCACAGGGTTTCTTTACCATTCTCCCATCAGTCTTCAATATCTTCTTCAAATGTCTCAGGTATCCAGGGTTCCTCAGTCCCGGTTCCCCCCAATATCAAAGTGTTGAAAGCACTACCAAAATATCTCTTCAATCCCTGTTATTCACTCACCACCCCCCAATTTCCCACAGATGGTCCCTCTAATGAGCTGGACCCTTTCTCTACTACCACTGCACCGTATATATCCCTCGACGCTGCTTTGGCCACAAAGTTGGTCCCCAACGAGATAAGTATTGTGAGAGGAGTTAATGAAGTAGTGGGTCAGAGGTTGAGTCATATCCTGGTAGATGGGAAGGCAGGCCGGGTTGAAGATGTCTCCATCCTTTGAGCAGAGGTAGCTGAGGAAGCCATCCAAGCTCAGCACATGCCGCAGTTTGCCTACAGTGTGGAATGGGGAATGCTAGAGTGAGCTGCTTGCAGGGGAGCCCCTCAGCATACCTACAGACCATCCTCCATCCCATTCCCTATGGGGTCTTGTCTTTCAGATGGTTCCTGTTCCCAGCTTCCAGATCCCCAACTTGCCCCACCCAGTGTGTGTCATTTCAATCACCCCCCATCCTCAGATATTATTAAAGAGAGCCATTACAATTATTCTACTCTATCTGGGCATGGTGGTACAGTATGAGTCCCAGAGACTCAGGAGGCTGAAACAAGAGGATCATAAGTTCAATGCCAGCCTCAGCAATTTAGCAAGGTCCTAAGCAATTTAGTGAGAACCTGTCTTAAAATAAAAAGCAAAAAGGACTGGGGATGAAGCTGGAGTTGTAGCTCAGGAGTAGAATACTTGCCTAGCACATGTGAGGCACTGAGTTTGATCCTCAGCACCACACAAAAATAAATAAACAAAGGTTTAAAAAAAAAAAGAGGTTTTCAGTCTGGCTGGTGAGAATATTACTTTTATAAAAAGAACTGGTGATGTAGCTCAGTGGCTAAGTGCCCCTGGGGGTTCAATCCCCAGGGCCAAGAAGAAGAAAAAGATCATTTTAAGTCCAGTGCTATCTAATATAACTTTCACAGTAATAAAAGTGTTCTATTCTATGGTGTTGAATATTGTAGCCTTTATATACATGTGGCTGTGAGCACTTGAAAATGTGACTTGTATGACTGAGGCACTAAATTTTTAATTTTATTTGATATTAGCTAATTTAAATGTATAGTCACAAGAAACTCACAGTTGCCATAATGGACAGCACAGTGTCCAGTCCAAAGATTTAATTTTATAGATGGTTTTTAAAATTTATGATTTTAAATATAAAATTAAAGATTTAATTTTATAATCAAAGCCTAGTGAGAATCACAAAGAAGGTTGTTAGTGACATGGCCAAGGTACCTGTGTTTTCTTCCTTGGGCTGTGTAAAGCTATGTTACTTATGATCTGAGGGGTTCTTTCTACTGTCAACACTCCCAAGTGGTATTTTGGGGAGCATTTGTCAACATTGCCTTAAATTACCCTCTTGTGGAGGAAAGGACCCTGTTTCTCCTTCTGTAACTCTCACCCGTCTCAGCATGGGCATCATACAATAGCAACTTGTTACTGTTGTGATTGAGCATTTGCTCTATGCCAAGGATATTACATGCAGTATCTTACTTAATGTTCTCACAACACAGTATGATCTGCTATGAGAAGTTAGAAAACTAGTCGCAGTCACATATTGGTAAGTGGAGGGACTGGAATTTATATCCATGCAGCCAGGAGTCAGAGTTTTGTCCTGTACTACTGGGCTATGCAGTGTTACTGAGGAGAATGCTGCTGCAGAGAGGTGCCCTTGAAAGTTAAACAACCTGACTGACATTCTCAGCTTCTTTGCTCCAGGTTTGACAAGGCCTGTAGGCAGTAGAGAATGGTAGGATGTTGGGCAGGAAGTTTCATTTTTGCCATTGATAATCCAATTGCTCAGGTAAGTCCATGGTTGCTAGATACTTTGCATGTGCATCATTTTATTTGATCGCTTATTTTATAAATGAGGAAATTGAGTCTCAGATAGGTTAAGTAACTTGCTCAAGGTTACTCAGTCAATTAGAAGCAGAGTAGGGACTTGACAATTGACTAATAATACACTCAGCAACCAGAATATAGTATCTAATTGTCAAGTGAAAGGGGAGGGACTACCAGGAGTGGTAGGAAATAGAGTAAATATTGTCTTAGTCTATTTTATACTGCTATTGCAGAATACCACAGACTGGGTAATTAATTTATAAAGCACACTGGGTAATTAATTTATAAATTAATAAAGATAATTAATTTATAAAGATTTATTTCTTACAATTCTAGTAGGAATGAGAAGTCCAAGGTTGAGGGGCCTGCATCTGGTGAGGGTCTTCTTGCTGTCATCCCATGGCAGAAGGTGGAAAGACAAGAGAACACATGGGAGAGCAAGAGAGGGGAAAGGGGCTTATCTCATGAATTAGTAATTTTTTTGGGGGGGTACTAGGGATTGAACCAGGAGCACTTAACCACTGAGCAAATCCCCAGCCCTTTTTATTTTTAATTTTGAAACAGGTTCTCACTAAGTTAATAATAATAATCTTGCTAAGTTGTTGAGGCTGGCCTTGAACTTGCTATCCTCCTGTCTCAGTCTCCCAAATTGCTGGGATTATAGGATTATATGCACCCAGCATGAATTAGTAATATTTTTTTGTGTGTGTGTGTGGTATTAGGGATTGAACGCAGGGGTACTCTATCTGAGTTACATTCCCAGCCTTTTTTATTTTTTATTTTTTTGAGACAGGTTCTGGCTAAGTTGCCAAGGCTTGCTGTCCTCTTGCCTCAGTCTCTTAAGTAACTGGGATTACAAGGTGCAGTGCCACCATATCTGGCTATGATTTGATCAATTTTTTTTAGTTGTTGATAGATCTTTATTTTTATTTATTTATATATGGTGCTGAGAATCGAACCCAGTGCCTCACACATGCCAGGCAAGTGCATTACCGCTGAGCCACAGCCACAGCCCAATTTGATCAATTTTTAAGTCCCACCTCTCAACACTGTTGTGTTGGAGTTTAAGTTCCCATCACGGGTACTTTGGGGGACACATTCAAACCCTAAGTAATTGAAGTATACTAGATCCTGCACTGAGAACAGAATATCCTATTTCTTAATCCTCTGACATCCTTCTTCAATTTTATTTTCTGAAATTATTGCTTTACAACTCTTGTTCTTCTCTAAACTACCATACAAATCTGGGATCACTGATATTCTAACACTGTTTGACTCTAAGTTCCATGAGGAAAGTGTTCTTGTCTAATCTAAGTGCCAATTATCTTTGATACTCAGTGTAGGTCCTGTTACATTACAGGTACTTGATAAGTATTATCTGAAGTGGTGAATATATGATTAAACAAGGTGGAGTTGAGACTCAGGAAACCTGGATCACTTTGGCTCTCAATCAACTTATCTCTTCTTTATTTTCTAGAGAGGCACTAATTAAGAATTGACCTGGGTTGAATTCCAATTCTTTTCTCATTACCTGTTGACTTGAAGTAAATCGTTTAATCTCTCTCTCTATATATATATATATTTTTTAATGTATTTTTATGTGGTGCTGAGGATCAAACCCAGTGCCTCACAAGGGCTAGATGGTGCTTTTCCACTAAGCTACAACCCCAGCCCAGTCATTTAATCTTTCTAAACCTCAACTTTCCTTTTTATAAAACTGATTTAATAATAGAACACATTCTAACAGAGGATGAAGGATTAGAAGAGAAAAGGTATGTATCGATATTAGCAAATTATGGAATACTTACCAAAGACCCAATAAAGAGTATAGCTATTGAATTATAAGTTGTAGTGAGAACTAAATTAAGTGAATGAGAAAGTGCCTTGTAAATATTTTACTGTTAATGTAAATTTCTCACTCTGAAAGGAATGGAGGGATAGAAGCAAGTCTGCAGACAAAGTCAAAGAAAGTTCAAGGATTAAGAAGGTATATTTTAGCTGCACTTGTTAAATGCTAAATTATTGGCTTCTTCATCATGCCCCTGCCCAGAGCTGTCTAGATTTTTCATAGAGGGACTCAGAGATTCAAGAACACTTGGAGAATTTGAAGAAATCCAAGGAAAGGACAAAAAGCCAGGATTTAATGGGACAGCAGATAGGAACCATGAAGGGGAACTAGAGGAAAAAGTATAATTTGCATAAAGAAAAGGCCAAAGCAAGAGCACTAGGAGTTTTTTGTTGCCACTAAGGACAAAGTTGATATCAGGAAGGATTTTCTGAATGTAAAGAATATGAAACGTGAGCATAGGGGAATTTAATCTTCCTCCTGAGAGAAAACACCTGTCTTATCCAGGCGGGAATGGCTGTTCGCCTCTAGAAGGAACAGTTAAATGAGATGATTGGGCAGAGGGCCAGAGTAGGGATGGACTCAGTCTCTCATAAGTTAGTCAAAAGACTGTCTCTGGATCTTTATAATCATGGCCTGTCCCCCTCACACCATGGCTGGTACCTCTGTACACCTAGTTTCCCTTACCACTTTCTGAAGGCTCATAGCGGTCAATGAGTTCCAGAGCAAGGTCAGAGGCTCGCTCTCTTTCTTTCTGCTCCTCTCGAAGGAAATCCACAAATTCCAGCAGGGTCAGTTTCTGCCCATCATCAGAAAATTGTTCAAACATTTCATGCACCTCAGTGCGTTTTGTCAATGCCTGATAGAAATATACAAATTCTTCTCCTTCTAGAGTCCCAGAATTGGACATGTCTGCTTCCTGCAACAGGTTTAGGAGAGAGTGGACAGACATTTCAGTGGGAAAATTTATGACCTTCACTTGTTCTTAAGGACATCTCATTGACACACATATTCAAAGATGCTTCAATAAAACTCCACAGAACCCCTGACATCTTGTGTTCATAGAAGTCACTTCAGTAAGAAAAAAGCAAACTTGCAGCTATATCATTTGCTAGTAGAGAAAATTTCAACCAAAAAGAGTTCTTCCTCCCAAAGCTCCCTAGGTCAGGATATACTTCCTTCAATTACTCATATTCCAGTTGGGGTTTGTTCTAGGCACCTGTGAAATTCTGGCCACAAACAGAGAGGTCCTTGAGGTCCAACATAATCACATATTGTTATTTACCTTTCATGGGATTATGACTCATCTTTCCAACAAGACTAAATGGCAAGAATCATTCCCTACACTTTCCACTGAGCCTGTCATGATGCTAGGGCACACAGTAGGGATTCAACAAATGAATGTTGCTGACTGGCGTCAGAAGCCTGCATGTAGATGGTTGGCTCCTGCAAATTCTTCCTCTGCAGACTCACCTGAAAAAGACCAAAGGCATATTCTTGGTCCATTTCCACATTCATCAGACGCAACAACCGCCGAACTTCTTCGAAAGTCATCCGACCATCTTGGTTTTTGTCTCCACGCTGGAACAAATCACTCAACCATCCAGGTCTGAGTCAAGGCAAAAGCACTGTATGTATGTGTTTGTGTGTCCAGAAGTATGTGCATGTTTATCCATTGACATCCCTCCCCTGTCTTTGTTGCCAGTCCCATGCCAATCCATTCCCCACACAGCTTTAGAATAATCTCTCCAGACCAACAATCTATCTTGTCACTGAATGGCTCAGGTACCTGCAGGGACCTTTCGGCTGCCTGAAGAAAGAAACTCAAATTCCTTAACATAGAAATTAAGATTCCCTTCACCCCTTGGATCTTACACAACACAGCCTGTTCAATATATCTCTGTCTTCCTTGCACTTTATAGCTAGACTCAGCAGCTCCCTGCTCTCGACTTTCTCTCTTGCTCCTCAATTTCCTATCTCCAGACCTTTACTCATTCTGTTCTCCCAGGCAGAAGTGCCTTTCCCTCCTCCACTCATCATGTTCCAATCCTTCCATTTTTCAGACCCAGCTCACAAACTATTTATTCCCTGACGCTTTATCAATACACTCTTAAGTAGAATGAAATATCCTTCCTTTAAATACATACAAATCATCTAAGAACAACAATTCTTTGGAACTTAGATTATTTATATCCTCTCTCCACTAACTGAAGCAATATCTGTATCTCATTAATATTTGGAACCCTAAAGCTTTGTATAGTTCCTGAAACATTCTGTTTAATAAGTGATTAATGAATGAATAAGTGGACTGGTGTTCAATCCAGCAATTTTGAAGTTGTCTATATCATTGAGCCCTCTAAGAAATGGCTTCCTGTCCAATACTATGGTATCCCTATGGTAGTAAATGCTTTTGGATCTTCTGTTCAGCTTTCAGGAGCAGTGCCTTATTTGCACCTCTGTCTCTCACTGTCCCTTCCTCCAAATCCTACAAGTCCTCATTCATGCCAAACTCTGTGCCATCCCTAGCATTCATTTCTCCTTCAAAATCCTCAGTTACACTTAACCTAATATGTCTCAGCCCATACAATCTGGACCCTTTAGCTTTCCTATCCCTCACCCCTTCCCATCTTCCCTAGCTCTGTAATATCTGGCTTCTTCAGTGATTCCCAGTCCCCACCCTGACTCCAACTTGTTGATACTGGTCCAGCCGCTCCTTTTGGTCCATGCTGGTAACAAGGTCCACCAAAAGCTGGAGTCCTCGCATCCAGTTCTGGGCCTCCTCAACACTGTTGGCAATCAGATCCAGGTTGGGACGGCGGCCATGGAAGACAATGGTGAAGCCCTGCTCCAGGGGGAACTCATCTGCCAGGCTGCGCAGCAACTCAGAATCATGACCTTTACGCACTGTCTCCACATCGGAGATTGAGACTGCCAAAGAAGCAGGTGGGAGCACTGAGAAAGGGATCCAACAAATTGTAGGGGCTAAGGGGCAAGGACCAGTGCCTACTTCTTCATGAAAACATAGAAAGGAGGAACTCCAGTCTCTGCAGACTGAGTCCCAAAAGGTGTAGTACAGAGAGACATAGTAGGGTTCCAGAGCCCATGTGAATCACTGCAGTTTGTTTCTGTAGGCAGCTGGGCAAGGGACCTGTGCTATGGACAGCAAGACATAATTTCCAGTCACAAAGTTAGCAGAGTGACACAGATCAAAACAACTTAATTCTTCAGTGTCCTCATCTTAAATAAGAATAGTCCTTTCCATGGTCAGTCTAAATAGTGATCATAGGAGGACTGGCAGGAATGATAAACGAGAACACGCTGAAAAGCAGTTACAACAAAGCAGCTCATGCTCACATTCAGATTTGAGGGTTTCTTCTTTCCAGATGTCTGGAGGGAGTAAAAAAAAAATTCTTCCACTCCTTTTATGGAAGGGGTGGTGAGGACTGTGAACTTTAATTATGTCTCTAAAGCAGACTCTTTTAAATGTATCCTATGATCAAATTTGTAGTGATATGCCAGGTGAAGTGGTGCATGCCTATAATCTCAGCAGCTCAGGAGGCTGAGGCAGGAGGATCACAGATTCAAAGCCAGCGTTAGCAACTTAGTGAGGTTGTAAGCCATCTAGTAAGACCCTGACTCAAAACAACAAAAACAACAACAAAATAAAATAAAACAAAAAGGGCTAGGAGGGGCTGGGGATGTGGCTCAAGCGGTAGTGTGCTCGCCTGGCATGCATGCGGCCCGGGTTCGATCCTCAGCACCACATACAAAACAAAGATGTTGTGTCCGCCGAAAACTAAAAAATATATATTAAAATTCTCTCTAAAAAAAATAGTCCATAAACAACTAATAAAAATATTCTTGGGGCTGGGGATGTGGCTCAAGCGGTAGCGCGCTCTCCTGGCATGCGTGCGGCCCGGGGTTTGATCCTCAGCACCACATACCAACAAAGATGTTGTGTCCGCCGAGAACTAAAAAATAAATATTAAAAATTCTCTCTCTCTCTCTCTCTCCTCTCTCACTCTCTCTTTAAAAAAAAATATTCTTTAAAAAATACCATAATGGCTAACACTTATTAAATGCACCCTGGTTTCAGATCCTGTGCTAGGTATGTGCTTTACAAATCAACTCATTGAGGTAGGTACTGTTTTTTTTTTGTACGGGAGATCGAACCAGGGTCACTTAACCACTGAGCCACATCCCCAGCCCCCCCTTTTTTATATTTTTTATTGTAGATGAACAGAATACCTTTTTTTTATTTGTTTACTTTTTATGTGGTGCCAGGGATCGAACCCAGTACCTCCTGCATGCTAGGCAAGCGCTCTACTACTGAGCCCAAAACTCTGGCTCCCCCAGCCCCCTTATATATTTTATTTAGAGAAAGAATTTCACAGAGTTTTTTTAGGGCCTCGCTAAGTTGCTGAGGCTGACTTTGAACTAATGATCCTCCTGTTTGAGCCTCCTAAACCACTGGGATTATAGGTTTGTACCACTGCACCTGTGGGCAGGTATTGCTTAATACTCATTTTACAGATGAGAAACAGAAGCTCAGTTTAATTAAGTTGTCCAAAGCCACTCCTCTAGAAAGTAGAAGAGCTAGGATTTTAATTCAGGCAGGTTGATACCTAAGGTCATGGTCTTATAATAACAATAATAAAAAAGATATAGCCTATGATTTATTGAATCTTACTTAGTGTGCCAAGACTCTTTCAAGTCCTTTATATGCAATATTAATTTTTTAAAATATTTTTTTAGTTGTAGATGGACCCAATACCTTTATTTATTTATTTTTATGTGGTGCTGAGAATAGAACCCAGTGCCTCATACATGTGACTCAAGCGCTCTGCCCCTGAGCCACAATCCTAGCCCTGCAAAAACTAATTTAATCCTCCATAACAGCCTTACAGGAGCAAATATTATCTATGATCTCCTTGCTCAGATACAGCCATAGTGGGACAGCACAAGGGCATACTATTGTAAGACTCTGGTATCTCCCCTGCCCTCAGGCTGCCAGGTTCCTCTGGGACCTTCCACCCTTGTGCCCACCCGCAGCTATCCAGGTCACTCACAGGTGGGCTTTTCACTGCCCCTAGCCTGACGAGCATGCCAGACTGTCATGCCATCATTCTGAAGTCTGAAGTATCTTGGCTTCTTCCAGCTTTTCGATCTCACCTTGCGCATCAGTGTGCCTTCTTGCATTTGCAGCAGGTCCTGATCAGTGGTCAGCCCTGGGACAAGAAAAGCAGGGAGAGATAGCCAGTGGAGAGAGAAGAGGGCCCAGAAGGAGCTCTAGAACAGGGGTCTAGTCTCCTTTCCTTTTCTGGGCTTCTTCCTAAGCCCTCTTCTGAAAGGGTACTCACGGTCTTGTATCAGGGATGCCATTACTCATTGGTCCGCCAGCTGGCGCCAGAGTCACCTAAAAGAAGCAAGAGAAGGAAACTGCCGTTTCCTTAGTGCGCAAAATATATGGGTCAGGTACTTCATCTCCATAGTCAGCTATATTTTACTTCTAATTTGAGGTTGGTGACTCTGAGGCTTAGGTAGCCTAAGAATCTTGCCTCAAATTTCATAAAGATCAGAATTTTAAAGCTGGGATTGTAGCTCAGTGGTAGAGAGCCTGCCTAGCTTTTGTGAGGCACTGGGTTCGATTCTCAGTAACGCATATAAATAAATAAAGATCCATCAACAACTAAAAATATTTTTTTAAAAAAGATCAGAATTTAAAATCAGATATATCTTGTCCCAGAGCCTCTGCTCTTTCCCATGGCTATTCCTAGGAAAGGCTAAACAAGGGCACCTACAACCCACTAGTTAGCTTTGCTCCACATTTATTCTCACATCCTCATCTTGCTGGTAACCCCTTTCAGAACCTGGACTCTCCCCACACCCTAGCTGTCTCTTCTCCAGGAAGAATCATCCCAGCCTCCTCTTCTGGAAACCCTGTCTGGCTCCTGAAGAGCTAGGACAGAGCACTTCTTGAGTCTCTGCTATAACACTTAGTTGTATTTTTCTGCCTTCACATTGTAGAGCATGTTTTATATTCTTTTACATAGCAGCTATTCTCACAGTTTTTAATGGAGTGATTAAGTTACACAAGTCTTGGAATTACATTTTCTTTTTTTTTTTTTTTTGAGAGAGAGACACACACAGAGAAAGAGAGAGAGAGAATTTTAATATTTATTTTTTAGTTTTCGGAGGACACAACATCTTTGTATGTGGTGCTGAGGATCGAACCTGGGCCGCACGCATGCCAGGCGAGCGTACTATGCTCGAGCCACACCCCCAGCCCTTGGAATTACATTTTCAAGTTTTCTCTACTTACTAAAAAAGGGCACATCCTTTAAGATATATGCTACCCAATTTATATGCTGGCTAAACTGTCCTAGTTGCTAACACAAAATTCCCTTTAAAAGAACTAGAAGCACTGGGAGCAGTAGCACACTTGTAATCCTAGCTAGTTAGGAGGCCAAGTCAGGAGGATTGCAAGTTTGAGGCCAGCCTAGGCAATTTAGCAAGACCCTGTCTCAAAATACTATTTTTTTTTAATTTATTTTTTAGTTTTAAGTGGACACAAAATCTTTGTTTTTATGTGGTGCTGAGAATCGAACCCAGTGCCTCATGCATGCTAGGCAAGTGTGCTACCACTTGAGCCACAGCCCCAGCCCTCAAAATACTATTTTTAAAAATGGCTGGGGGGGCTGGGGATGTGGCTCAAGTGGTAGCGCGCTCGCCTGGCATGCGTGCGGCCCGGGTTCGATCCTCAGCACCACATACAAAGATGTTGTGTCCGCCGATAAAAATAAATATTAAAAAATATCTCTCTCTCCCTCTCTCTCTCTCCCTCTCTCTTTAAAATAAAATAAAATAAAAATGGCTGGGGATATAGCTCTGGTGGAGTGCTTGCCTAGCACCCATAAGGTTTACTCCCTAGTACCACACACATACACACAAAAAAAAACCTAACAATATTTAATATGTGGCCACTTTGATTCTAGTACTACCCCATAAACATTTTCAATCTTGACCAGATTGTTTTGTCAAAGCATATGAAACATAAAGCGCTCTCTCTATCTCTCTCTCTCTTTAATGAACAAAGGACAGGACCTACACTTGAATAGAAGCACTTTGTGTTTCTTAATTAAAACATTTAAAAATTTTGCCAGGACTGGGGATGTGGCTCAAGCAGTAGCGCGCTCGCCTGGCATACATGCGGCCCGGGTTCGATCCTCAGCACCACATACAAAGATGTTGTGTCCGCCAAAAACTAAATAATAAATATTTTAAAAATTCTCTCTCTCTCTCTCTCTCTCTCTCTCTTTAAAATTTTTTTTTTCCAGGCATAGTAGTGCATGTCTGTTATCCTCAGGTAGCTGAGGCAGGAGGTAAAGCAACCCTGGGTTCAATCCCCAGTACCAAAATAAATAACTTTTGACAGTGATGAACATTTAAAACAACCTTACTCAGGAGGCTGAGGCAAGGGAACCATAAATTCAAGGCCAGCATCAGAAAAAAAAATCTGGGGAAAATACTGCTATGCTGCCATGGTGGCACATGCCTGTAATTCTAGAGATTTGAGAGGCAGAGGCAGAAGGATTGCAAGTTCAAAGCCAACCTCAGCAACTTAGTGGAGCCGTCAGCAATTTGGTGAGACCCTGTCTCAAAATAAAAAATAAAAGGGCTAAGGATGTGGCTGGTTCAGTGACTGAGCACTCCTGGATTCAATTCCTGGTACCAAAAAAAAAAAAGGGGGGGTGGGGTGGGGTTGTTGCTCAGTGGTAGAGCGCTTGCCTAGCATGTGTGAGGCACTGGGTTTGATCCCCAGCACCACATTAAAAAAAACTAAATAAACAAAATAAAGGTATTGTGTCCATCTACAACTAAAAAGGACTGGGGACGCAGATCAGTGGTAGAGCACCCCTGGGTTCAATTCCCAGTATTGTCAAACAAACAACATAAGCAGGGTATGGTGGTCCATGCCTGTAATCCCAGTGGCTCAGGAGGCTGAGACAGGAGGATTCAGAGTTCAAAGCCAGCCTCAGCAATGGCGAAGTGCTAAGCAACTCAGTGAGACCTTGTCTCTAAATAAAATACAAAATAGGGCTGAGGATGTGGCTCAGTGGTTGAGTGCCCCTGAGTTCAATCCCTGGTACCAAGAAAAAAGAAAAAAGAAACAAAAAAATAATATAAGCTACTCCAGATTTTATAGAGGAATAAAGTAGGAGGTTCAGAAATGTGATGTGACTTGTCTGAGGTCACACAGCATATTAGAATTCTGTCTCTCTTTGATGAGAAGAAGAACCTATAAAGTCACTCGAAAGTGATTAGGTATTCAGGGAGAAGGTGGGGATCACTGAAAATGCCCTAACTAGAGGACCTAAAGATGCCTTTCTAAAAAGGTAACAGATTGAAGAGGGAATGTTGGGAAGAAGTTTCTTGGGAGAAAAACAGTCCTGTGACAGTTGCAAGAATAAGATATTTTTCTGGCTAAGGCTGGCTATTGTGTGTCTTGGGTAAGATCAGAAGAAACCTCTGAAAAGAGGAAGGGATTCCCAGGGCTTCCTGAGAGACAGAGAGAGAGATTTTTAAATCCATATCCAGGTGGAGAAGCACAGTATGAAATAATCTGAAACTTACAGAAGTTAAATCAACATTGAAGTAGAAAGTGATAGGTCTCTCTTAAAGTTCTTAAAGGTCAAGGTTGAAGTATAATCTTCAGTGGTATCATTCTGCCTTTGCCTCTCTTTGAACTTCAGCTCCCATCTGTGGGGCATAGAGACTCTGGGGTGGAGCTAGGGCCTGGGAGAAGACAGAACTACCTTCATTTATACCTCTGATCAGGAGCCTCAATAATGTCCTACAGCACGAGAAACCTGAGAACACAGGTCCTCTGCCTAGACACCCTTATTTGATAGACTATTTCCTCTCAAACCAGCCTTAGGAAACCCTCCTTTGTCAAACCCTGGGGCTTGCCCTCCCTCACCCTAGCTAACTTTGCTCCCATTCCTGAATTATTATTCTAAACCTGTATCCAGGTGACATATGGCTATAAGAGCACCAGCTTTAATTCAGGAGCTGCAGAATGTCAGAACTGGACTTTATTCTTTACAGAGGAGGATTGAGTACTAGAAAGATTGGTGGATCTGTTGGGGTCATTTAGTTGAGTTGCAAAACTGGGACTAGAACCGAGGTCTCCATATAACCAATCAGAGAGCTTGCTGAAACTCTGCCTTGTTCCAGAAAGCAGGTCAAAGTGAGGTTAGGGATCAGTGAGAGATGCTGATATTCAATCTCTCCTCTTCATCATCCTCTGTTCCTCTTGTATCCCATAAAATAGCTTTTCTTTTCCCCATCCCATGCTTGATCTCATCCTTTCCCTTTCTTCCCAGCTCACTCTTCTCTCTTCTGGTCAGCCTCTTTTTGCTCTCCTCTTCTCACCTCTTCTCTCCATTACCTCTTCCTGTCACTTCCCTCCTCTGTCTCCACTAATTGCCAATAGTTCTGACTATCATTTCCTTTGAGGATTTTGAGACTATGGTCCAGGAGGAAGGACACTTGAGTTTGGATACTCAGTAGCATATCCCTCTGCTCAGCGTCACTTTTCCCTGTATCCTAGGAGATTTGACTAAACAAAGTGCTGAGAATGTGAGTTAGAACCTAGTGTTCTAGGTCTTCGTGTTTCTTCTGTGTCTGAAAGGAAAGAATTTTTCAGCTGATGCAGGTGCAGTGTGGAGAAAAGGAACCAAGGGTTTGTGAGTGGGGGCACTTAAGGGCACAGAGATTGAAAACTGACAGTAAGATTAGGTTTTCAATGTTATCTCTTAGACATGTATGTGGAGACCTTAGAGGATACAGATAGTTGCCTGGATACTACAGGTATGACAAAAGACACGTAAAATAAGATGGGAAGTAACCTTGGGCTGCAGAACAAGATTTAGTTCTCAACTCCCAAGTGTCTTCATGTCACCTAAAGACAGACTTTGGCAATGTCGCCATTGGTGCCAATGACATTACACTAGGAATCAAGATGTCTCAATTCTCTCTGAGGGGCAGGAAGAAAGACAATCATTTTGACTATTCCCTTGCTTCTGAGAAGATTATGTCTAGCCTTATGTCATGGATTATGTCTAGGATTATGCCATGTAAAAAGGATAGAATGGCTCTAGTCACAGGTCACAGCTCTCAGAATGTTAGAACTTGAAGGCTCTTTCATAGCACATATAAACCAGGGTTTCACAGATAATTCAATGTCCCAGGGAAAGTGTCTTAAAATAGAGAATCCTTAGCTCCCACCCCAAAATCTACCAGATCAAAATTTCCAAGGTTGGGGCTCAGAAATATATATATATTTTTTTTTTTTTTTTTTTTTTTTTTTTTGGTGGTGGTGCTGGGGATTGAACCCAGGGCTTTGTGCATGTGAGGCAAGCACTCTACCAACTGAGCTACATCCCCAATATATATATATATATATATATATATTTTTTTTTTAAACAAGCATATCTGGTACAAAGGCAAGTCTGGGGAGCCCTTAAACTTTCTCCTAATACAGATCAAAAAAGTTATGGTCTAAAGTCCCAGGGCACAGTCTTCTGATGTACCAAGAAACTGTCCTAGCTACCTAAGCAGGTGAAGAACAAGGCACAGAATTCAAACCTGCCTCTTTCCTAGGAAGTCTCATAACTCCATGCTACCAGGAGTTTTTCTGCTTCTCCCTGGGTCTTGGCCAGTTCTCCTTTGGAAACTCTCAAGGATCCATTAATAAGTCTCTGCTACAACTTGTCTACTCCAGTTCTTTCTTCTCTTATTGGGGTGGACTCACCTCTGAGAAGTCGCTAGGGTCAGCACTCCTGGCCTTGGATAGCTAAGAGGTTCTTCTTAAAAGGAGTGTTGACACCGGGCAAAAACTAGAAAAGTCAAAGAGGAAGACACACTGGAGAGAACCAGGTGGAGGCAGCACTGTGAGCCTTTGGGGTGGGGAAAGTCAGGGCAAGTAAGCATCAGAAGAGCAAAGTAAGGCAGTCACGTAGGGCAGAGCATGGGCAGAGGCTGACCAAGCCTCCTGGCCCTTACCTGGGCAGGATAGCCGTCTTGTGTCTATGAGCTGTGCCCACCTGAGCTCTGTGTTGATCTCCACCGTGAGGTAAGAAATCCCAGCCTGGCTCCTTTTCTCTTTTGCTCTCGCCTGCTTCCTTCCCTCTTCTACTGCAGTCTGCTGTTCTGACTGGCAGCGTTACAATCCCTTAGAGTCCAAGGAAAAGAGTAGGGTGGTTTGAGGTGGGAGCACTTTTCTCAGTCCAGCCCATTCAACTCTTAAAGGCCCAGGACACCAGTTACTCGAGGTGGGGGTGGGGTGAGAGAAAAGGATTGAGATGGATTTGACAACCATCTCCAGAGAGGAAAAGCCTGGCTGCTGTCTTTTATCTTGATCCCGTACTTCCCTCCATGGCCCCAATCCGGCAGAAGCTCTCAAAATGAAACCCAAGGAATGTCTGAATTGTAGTGCTCCGTGAATCTCAGCTTTTCATTCTGACCGGTCTCTGCATGTAACACAGCTGCTTTCGCCCTCATTTCATCTGGCTGCTTTCCACAGTGTCTTTCCATCGGCTTGCTCCTTTGTCTCTGCCCCCTGCCTTGCAGGGCACTAGTTCTAACTCTGTGGCACAGGAAAAGGAAGAAACAGGATGGGAAAGGAGGAAGATGAGGAGAATGGAAGAAGAGGAATGATCATGGAGTGGAGGGGGGCAGGTAGTGTTTATGTATATTTAAGGTACTCAAAGGAATTTCTTTAAAAGAATGCACGTATTGGGTTGGGGATGTGGCTCAACTGGTAGCGCGCTCGCCTCGCATACGTGCAGCCAGGTTCGATCCTCAGCACCACACACCAACAAAGATGTTGTGTCTGCCGAGAACTAAAAAATAAATATTAAAAAAAAAATTCTCTCTCTTGCTCTCTCTCTCTCTCTCTCTCTCATTAAAAAAATGCATATATGAATATGTGAAACAATTCACCTTCTCCTCCCCCTCCTCCCCCTTCCCCCCTCTTCTCCTTCTCCTCCTCCTCCTCCTTCTTCTTCTTCTTCTTCTTCTTCTTCTTCTTCTTCTTCTTCTTCTTCTTCTTCTTCTTCTTCTTCTTCTTCTTCTTCTTCTTCTTCTTCTTCTTCTTCTTTTTTCTCTCTCTCTCTCTCTCTCTCCTCTCTCAACAGGGATTGAACTCAGGGGCACTTAACCACTGAACCACATCCCCAGCTCTTTTATTTAGAAACAGGGTCTCGCTAAGTTGCATAGGGCCTTATTAAGTTGCTGAGGCTGGCTTTGAACTTGTGATCCTCTTGCCTCAGCTCTTGAGCCTGGCACACCTGTTCTTTCTTTACACTTATTCATTCCTTCTACAAGCATCTGTCCAGTGCCAGGACATATGTGTATGTTTACAAAGGGGTGGGTAGAGATGAAGCTGGCTCATGATGTGTAAGAACCCAGAGCAGCAAGGAGTACAGACCAGAAAGATACTCACTAGGAAAGATGGGTGAGGAGCTCCTTACAAGAGTGGCTGACATGGCAGTTGAAACAAAAACCAAGAATGAGGAAAGGGGACCAGATTAGGATAGGAACAGGGAATTGTAAAGAGCTTTATGATCATGAGAAACTGAAGCCCATGGAAGTTTACACAATGACCTAGACTCCTGTGTCGGCAATGGAGACGACCAGCCCCATCACGAATCCCAAACACTGTGAGCTAAGATCTGCTTTTGATCTGTCTTTGGAAGACAGTGGGATATGGTTCTTTCTGGACCAATGGATGACTGTAAGGCAGTTAAGGGAACAGGGCAGAGCCCTGTACTTGAATGTCTATGAGATCCTTTTTTGGTGAGGTGTATTTTAATCCTAGCCACAGAGGGAATCAGCTGTGTGAAACAGTGGGATTCAAGTGTGCTGAGATCAGGCTGTCTCTTGTGGTTCCCCCAAACATCCTTCAACTGCCTAATATTCTTCCACTAGTGGTTATTTATAGCTAAACTTTTAGCACCATTAAAATAAAATCCTCAGGGCTGAGCTTGTGGATCAATGGTAGAGTGCTTGCCTAGTATGTGTGGAGCCCTGGGTTCAATTCTCAGCATCAAATAAAAATAAACAAAATAAAGGTATTTGTCCATCTACAACTAAAAAAAATAATATAATAAAATCCTCCTAAGTAATGGCCATAAAATAGGAAGAAGGTGTTGTAATGGGATGAAGCACATAACTGGCTTTTGAAATAGCTGGCTAAGTTCTACTTCTAGTCTTGAGTGCTAACAGGGGACTTTATAATAACTACTAAGCCAGACATTATCTTTATGTAGTTTTCTATATCTGTGTTATATTTTGCAAATAAAGGTTTTTAAACTTTTCAATTTTTTTTGAAGCCTTCGTGGTTTTAAATAATTTATACCTAGGTTAAGTTGCTCATGTTCTTTACTGATAGGGGAAGAGAGAATGAAGGGAGGGGAGGCATTAAAAGGGAGACCATTCTTAGGGAATAGGGGTGTCAAAATGTGAGCTGTGCCGAATTCAGATTTGACTTAATATAGACCCTGTCTTCCATGCTTGTCGTTTTCTCGTTCCTACTTGCTTGACATCATTATCTCCTTTTTCTGAGCTTCACCTTCATATCCCCCCTCTTTTATATCACTCCTCTTTTAACCCCAGGATTATATTCATCTATGTCTTTCTGAGTCATTATCAGCTCAATGCTGCTCAACCTCCTTTCGTTCTGGGTGATCTGTGAGGGATGCTATCACACATCCTGGATTTTCTGGGAGAGCATAGATTTCAAATATTAAATTTCAACATCCTCATTAACACACCAGTACTCCACAGTCCATGGATCTGATTTTTGGACTTTCACAAAGTTACACAAAGTTAAATGGCTCCCAAGACTGCTTAGAAGGCATGCCCTTAGAAAGTAGGCATGATTCTCATTAAATCCAGAGAGAGAACAGATGGCCGCAGGCACAGGAACTGTCCATCTGGTTTGGTAATTCCTATTTCTGCAAAGATCCTGGCCCTTCCCCCCACTGATGTCTATTATTAACAGATTCAGAAACCTGAGCAGGGCAGCAGTAGCAGAGGGACTTTCTGGGAACAATGCCCAGGAAAGGCCTAGAAGGCCTAAACTGAAATGAAGCAGCAGCTGGCAGAGGTAGACCTAAACACAGCACTCTTCCTCCGTCACTCAGACTTGCCTAGACCCTCCTCTAGACATTTAGGGAAAATGACATCATACATAAACACCTTTGCTTCTCAGGACATTCCAGCTGAAAGTTTAAGGCAAATTCCCCAGACTATTCAGCCAAACTACTCAAATTACTGAAATGAATGGTGATCAAAAAAGTAACTCAAAATATCAAATTCCATTTTAAAATCATACATATGAACCAGGTGTGATGGTGCACACCTGTAATACCAGTGTCTCGGGAGAGGAGACTGAGGCAGGAGGATTGCAAATTCAAGGCCAGTCTCAGCAACTTAGTGAAAGCTCTGTCTCAAAATAAAAAATAAAAGACCTAGGTATATAGCTTAGTGGTAAAGTGCCCCTTGAGCTCAACATACAGTACAAAACAAAACAAAAAAAACAAACAAACAAAAAACCCCAAACAAAACAGCAATAACAAACCAAAAATACCAGAGAATAAGGTAATAGAAGGCAAAATTAAGAGTACAAATGATATAATATTCCATGCCAAGAAATTTAACTTTCAGAAAAGATCATAAAACAAAATATAAGTAGATACTTTTTTTTTTTTTTTTTTTTGCTTATTTTCACAGTACTGGGGATTGACCAAGGGGTACTCTACCCCTGAGCTATCACCTATCCCCCATCAGCCCTTTTAATTTTTTTTTTTTTTTAAAGAGAGAGTGAGAGGGCTGGGGATGTGGCTCAAGTGGTAGCGCGCTGGCCTGGCATGCGTGCGACCCGGGTTCGATCCTCAGCACCACATACAAACAAAGATGTTGTGTCTGCCGAAAACTAAAAGATAAATATTAAAAAAAAAAAAGAGAGAGAGTGAGAGAATCCTAACATCTATTTATTTTTTCTTAGTTCTCGGCGGACACAACATCTTCGTTTGTTTGTGGTGCTGAGGATCGAACCTGGACCAAACCCGGGCCGCACTCACGTTAGGCAAGCGCGCTACCGCTTGAGCCACATCCCCAGCCCAGCCCTTTCAATTTTCAAACAAGGTCTTGCTAAATTGCCCAGGTTGGCTTTGAACTTTTCTCTTGCCTCAGCCTTCAGAGTAACTGAGATTACAGGTATGATCCATCAAGCCAAGCTAGCATATGTTTTTTATAAGTTATTTCTACAAAAAGATTGAAAGTTAAAGGAAATTAAAGAAAGATATTTGGGAATAGTAAGACTCCACTTTTTTTTTTTTTTTTTTGGTACTGGGGATTGAACCCTCTGAGCTACATCCCCAGCCCTTATATTTTGAGACAGGATCTCACCAAGTTGCAGTTTCATCAAACTTATTAACTTCTTGCCCCAGCCTCCTGAATCACTGGGATTATAGGTATGCACCAGAACACATAGCTTCCAATTTTTAAAATTCAAGATTATCTTGGCTGTTCTTGCAGATTTTAGAATATGTCAATTTTCACAAAAATATACCTGCTGAAATTTTACTTAGAATTGTTTAGCCAGCAGATCAATTTGAAAAATTGGGCATCTGTATAATATTTTTTTACAATCCATGGAAATGATTTATCCTTCAATTTTTATAGGTCTCTACTTTCTTTCCAGAATGTTTGTTTTTCATTAAAAGGTTCTTACATCATTTGACATACCTATTTCTAACTACTTGATTTCTTATGCTACTATACACTATATATCTTTGAAATATCATTTTCTATTTATTGTATTTCAGGAACATGTAATTGATTTTTTGGGTATATTGACTTTGTATTTTGTGATTCTGTTAACTTTGCTTCAGTTATTAAATTCTAAGAGTATATTGATATTGATTTTCCTCCTTTCTCCTCCTCTCTCCTCCTCCTCCTCCTCCTCTTCCTTTTTTCCCCCTAGTACTAGAGATTAAACCAGGGCTGCTCTACCACTACATCCCCAGCCCTTTTTATTTTATTTTGAGACAGGGTCTTGCTAAGATGCCCCAGCTGCCCTCAAATTTGTGATTCTCCAGCCTCAGTCTCTCAAGCCCCCAGGATAATAGGCATGCTCCACCATGCCTAGCTGTAGATTCTTTTGGATCATATATGTACAGAACCATTTGTCAGCACATACTAAGGTTTTGTTTGTTTGTTCGTCTTTTTCCTTTATAATAGCTTATATGTGCTAATTTACCAAACTAAATCAAGGAGTGCCTGGACTGTCGACATCCCAAATCACATTAAGAACACTTGACACTGGAGCTTATCAACATCACCATATGCAACCCCCTCACCTAAGACCCATAAAAGGAGAAGCCTCTCCAAGACTGGACATGGTGGCACCCTGATTCTGTCACCAGGTCACTTACCAGGAAAATCACCACAGCGACGAAGCTTGAATTTTCTTTTCCATTGGGTTTCAGCAAAGCACTTTTTCTCCTGCCTGTGATAACCATGCATGGCCCACTCCAAGCTGACACTCTGAAACTGTCGGTCTAGACCCTCTGTTTTGACAACTTTGTGGGACTGGCTCATTAAAATCTTTTTCTGAGTTGGGCATAGTGGCACACATCTGTAATCCCAGAGGCTAGGGAGGCTGAGGAAGGAGGATTGAAAGTTCAAACCCAGCCTCAGCAAAAGCAAGGCGCTATGGATTAGGGTTGCCTCGCATGTGTGAGTTCCATCCTCAGTACCACAAATAAATAAATAAAGGTATTGTGTCCATCTACAACTTAAAAAAAAAAAAACTGGAAAAAAGAATGGCAATTTGAGTCTTTCTGTGGCATATATATATGTATATGTGTGTGTGTGTGTGTGTGTATGTGTGTATATAATTTCATTGTGTGAAGTATGATGTGTGACTAGAGTTCTAGATATTAGAAATTAAAATTGGAATAAAAGACTTTCCTATGTTTGCCTGGTTTATGACTATCAGATGACCCATGAGTATTCAGTGAATTAGCACTGAAAGCAGTGTAACCTGTGAATTGTTATTCAATAAAAAGACATTGTGGAAAGATACAAACTTTGGTCTGTTAATGACATAGCTACCTCATGAAATGATCATAATACTTTTTTTTTTTTTTGCAGTAGTGGGGATTGAGCTATACTCCCAGACCTTTTTTAGCTTTTTAGAAAAAGCTAAACTGTGGAGGGGGTCCTGGGACTTGCCATCCTCCTGCTTCAACACTAAAATTACAGGTGTGAGCCACTGAATTCAGCTGTTGATACTTATTAGATTAAGAATATAACTTTCTATCTTTCTATTCCTGGTTTTCAAAGTGATTTTTTTTTTCCTTCCAGTATTGGGGATCAAGTGCAAATCCTCAAGCCTGTTAAACCCATGCTCTACCACTGAGTTATATTATCCAGTTTCTTTTTAAAAATATCATGGATGAGTGTTAAATTTTGTAGTGTTCTTCATGTATTGTGTGATCTTTTGCTTTTTATGTTGACTATGTGAATTGCATTAATTGGTTAAGTACTGAATTGATCTTACATATATGTTTTTGGTACTGGGGATTGAACTCAGGAAACTTGACCACTGAGCCACATCCTCAGCCCTATTCTGTATTTTATTTAGATACAGGGTCTCACTGAGTTGCTTAGTGCCTTGCTTTTGCTGAGGCTGGCTTTGAACTCGCAATCCTCCTGCCTCAGCCTTCTGAGCCACTGGAATTACAGATATGTGCCACCATGCCTGGCTAATGATCTTATATATTAATTTTTTTTTAGTTGTTGATGGACACAATGCCATTATTTTATTTTATCCATTTTTATATGGTGCTGAGAATTGAACTCAGTGCCTCACACATGCGAGGCAAGCATCTACCACTGAGCCACAACACCAGCCTTGATCTTGATTTTTAAATAAATCCAAATTAGATCTCATGCTGGTTTTTTTTTTTTTTTTTTTGGCAGTAGTAGGGCTTGAACCCAAGCGCACTCTTACTGATCAACATCCCCAGTCCTTTTTATTTTTTGTAATATATGTATTTATATATGTATACATATTTAGTTGTATCTGGACATAATGTATTTATTTTTATGTGGTACTAAGGATTGAACCCCGTGCCTCACACGTGCCAGGCAAGTGCTTTATACTGAGCTCCAACTCCAGCCCTTGATAACAGGGTCTTACTAAATTGCTTGAAGCTGGCCTTGAACTTGCAATCCTCCTGCCTCAACATTCCAGGTTTCTAGAATTACACGTGAGTCCCAGAGTTTGGCTGGTCTAAAGCTCTTGATCCTTCTACCTTAACCTGGCCAATAGCTTGTGTATGTAGATTCTGCCTATCTCCACAATAGAGATTGGACCCTGGTTTTTGTAATCATGTTACTGAGAAGGTTTAAGGTGGCTGGATAATGATTCTTCACAAATGAACTGCAATCTATTTGTTTTTTCTATTTTCTGGGAACTTACAAAAGATTAGTGACTAAGATAAAAGCAATGTACTTTTTACTTTTGTGTGTGTATGTGTGGAGCTGGGGATTGAACCCAGGGACTTGTGCATATGAGGCAGGCACTCTACTAACTGAGCTATATCCCCAGCACTACTTACACTTCTAATGCTATTTATTTTCCTTTCACCAGCCTACTTGGGGCTTATCAATTTTATTGATGTTTTCCAGGGACTCACTTCACTTTATTAATTTTTTATGTACCTTCTATTTCACATTATTATTATTTTTGGTTCTAGGACTAAACCCAGGTATGCTTAACCACTGAGCCACATCCCCAGCCCTTTTTGATACAGGGTCTTGCTAAATTGCTTAGGGTCTCACCAAGTTTCTGAGGCTAGCTTTAAAACTCACGATCCTCCTGACTCAGTCTCTTGAGCTGCTTCGACTAAGGCATGCACCACTGCACCAGACTCCTACTTTTTGAATGTTATTCTTTCCCAGTTTTTTGACATGAAGTCAGCTTTAGCCTTTCTTTTTCTGTAATGTGTGACTATGAGGTTATATACTTCAAAAAACACTACCTAAATGCTAAATGCTTCAGGTTCTGATAATGTCTTCATTATCAATTTAACTCAAAATACTTTCATTTCCTATGACCTTTTTTTCCCCCTTTAACCCACAGGTTTAGAATCATAATGCCTAAGTTCTAAAGAGGGACTTTCCAGTTCTTTCTTTTTAGCTTGATCCCACTGCAGTCTATGGTTTCAGTTCTGAATTTTTTAAAGCTTACTTGATGGTCCAGTTATGATCAATTCTTGTACATGCTTTAGGTTCAATTAAAAAAAAAATGCAGGGCTGGGGTTGTGGCTCAGCGGCAGAGCACTTGACTCGCACACACGAGACCTTGGGTTCGATCCTCAGCATCACATAAAAAAAAAAATAGGTGAAATATGCATGCTATTGGTTAAGAGTATAACTAAAAATTTGTTGTTATTTCTGCTTTTGAAATAAATGTATCAAAATACTTCTCCAAAAAATTAAATTCCACACTGTATCAGGAGGGCAAAAAAGATCTCATTTCACTCTATGGTTCCTTCAAATGTTTCCTTTTTTGATTATGATGGAACCCCAATGCCTTGGCAGAGTAAGTGTGTGTTCTACTGATGAGCTATGCCCTCAGCCCTCCTTCCCCTGCTCCCACACTAGAGATTGAAACCAGGAATACTTTTCCTTTTGAGCTCTTTGAAAATTTTGAGATAGGTGTCACCAAGTTGCCAGGATAACCTTTAACTTGTGATCCTCCTACGTCAATCCCCCAACTAGCTGGAAGTACAGGCATGCACACTTTGCCTGGCCATCCATGTTTTTTTTGGGGGGTGGGAGTGAGTTCTAGAGATTGAACCCAGGCAGGGCCTTATACATTCGAGGCAAGCACTCTTCCAACTGAGATATATCCCCAGCCCATTTTTTTAATATTTATTTTTAGTTGTACACAATATCTTTATTGTTGTTTGTGTTTATGTGGTGCTGTGGATTGAACCAAGGGCCTTGCACGTGCTAGGCGAGTGCTCTACCACTGAGCCACAACCCTAGCCCCACTTGGGCTTTTTGATAGCAACAAATTTGTATGTCTCCCTTTTCCTAACCTGTGAGCAGCAGGGAAAGTGAACAGGGGAATCCTATGGAGTCAGTGAGGAAGGCATGCTCTGAAGTTTAAGTGATGCCTCCTCTCCTTTCCCTGTCCCACCACGGTCATAAGCCCTCTAAAGCCCTTGAAAAAAAAGCTGGAAATAGGAGCAGAATGCATCCTACCAATAGGCCAAGTATTAGAACAACTTTTTTTTTTTTTTTTTTCCTTTTTGACTACCAGGGATTGAACTCAGCCCTATTTTGTGTTTTATTTGGAGAAAGGGTCTCACCAAGATACTTAGTGCTTCGCAGTGGCTGAGGCTGTCTTTGAACTTGTGATTCTCCTGTTTCCTAAACTGCTGGGATTACAGGCATGAGCCACTGTGCCTAGCTAGAACAACTCTTAAGACAGGCTCTAAGCTCTGAACTCCAGAGGAGATAAAATTGATGTCCATAATAAGTGTTTCAAGCATTACCTCTTCACTTACAGAAATCTGTCACTGGCCTGAAAGCTGGAGGTGAGGTTCTGTCTCTGCAAGAAACAGTTTTTCAGGTAAAGGGTACCATATCAGCTTCTCAGATTTTGTATATCAGCTGTAGTCTTCTAGACTCCTCAATAACCTGTCCAAAAAAGAACTATCACTGCCACTGCCCTCTTAGCAGTGTATGTGTAGTATATGTAGGCAGACTGAGCCTGTGGCACAACATGAATCATCTGACCAACATGTCTTAGCTATCTCTATGTTGACAGAATTAAATCTCCAGTTAAAAGGAAAAAAATATTTTTATAAAAACAGAAGCACGTTTTATTTCAATCCTGTTGGGGGGGTAGTGAGAGGGATGGAAAACACAAAATAAGGGGAGAGGGTCTCTTTATATAATACATGTAACATTAGGACCAACCACAGGAAGAATACCCATCCCACCACCCCCCCCCCATTAACTCCTATGTGGGTTCCAAGGCCAGCTGAGAATAGATGGGATAAGAATTAAGACACTATTGGCACAGTAACATGGCCAATGCACCGAAAGATGGACAGAGAATTTCCCAGGGAGCAAGGCCCTGGACCTCAACTGCTTCCCCAGTGGAGGGGGAATGAGAAAACTTTGGCTCAGCAGGAAGGCGGTTGTCAAAATCAGGGTTACCCTAGTAGGATTCTTCAGATTGCAGGCTGTGGCTGAAGGGAGTCAAGACATCTATCGATTCCATGCTGTCCTCTGCTTTCTCCAAGACCTCTCCTCTTCAGGCTTGAGACTACTGAGGTGTCCAGGTTCTCTTCCTTTTGGTAGGGAGGGGAATAAGTGCTTATTCTACCCTTCCTACATCCAGGCTACTTAATTACTACTTTCCTGGCTCTAAAAGAGACAGAAGCCAACTAATAAGACCGGCTCCCTTTGTGAAAGTCGGCTTGAAAGCCCTTGGGTTGGCAAAACTGCCTCTGCAAAGGTTTCTCTGAACTTTCCCCTTATAGACCCTCCCCAAACTTATTCAAAGACATCTTCAATTTCGTGAGATGTGGACAGAAAGACTTGGTCCCTCTCTAGAGTTCAATCAGCAATCCCATCTTTGACTGGAGATGGGAATGAGAGAGAAAGAACAGGTACTAACAAGGGAAAAGCAAGGCAGTTTACACTAAGATATAGATTCAAGCCTGAAAATTGTGAATAGTCATCTAAAGCTCCAAAGGAGGAAGAACAATTCTCCCACACAATATGAACAAGTGAAAAAATATTTTGTGACAACCCTGTAATTCCCAGACCACAAGAAATTGTGTTAAAAGGGGGAAAAAAAAAACACCCCAAGAAACAAACTTGCGAGCAGAGTCTAGCCCTCCATCTTAAATCTGAATAAAATAAACTCAATCAATACTGCTTCAAGTACAATCATGAAGACAGATGAAGCTGTTGAAATTCACACTTAAAGAATGGGATCAGGTGGCTAATCACCTTAATCCCAGGCACCTCCCTTTTAAAAGTCATCTGAGTATATCTTTGAAGACCACAACCCGTTTTCTGCCCCAATACTATACCCTTTCAGGATAGCCAGATGAATTAAGACGTCTGTTTTAAGTTTAATAGGAGGGAAGTGGAAAAAGAAAAAGCATTAAGATTTGGAAAAGCTAGCAGCTAAAGCCAAAAACAAGGTTAAGGTCCTTGTGGCATTCAGGAATGAGAGTAAAAGAATGGGAGAAGGAAGGTATTCAGGCGTTGGGTTCCTGCTGTCCTTTGGCTTTACATCTTACCCCTGCCTCCCATTTCTCCCAACAGCTTGATGCAGCTATCGGCCTGCATCAGAGGGGATGTAATGCCCAGACCAACTTTTTATTAAGCTTATGCAGCTAACAGACTTGTAAACAGTGCCAATTGACAAAGTTTTGCTGAAAATTACAGCTTTTGTCCATTAAACACACCTCTCTCTGAGATTAAAAAAAAAAATCCAAAGTAAACAAATACCGAGAGAGAGAGAATTAAGAGACACATCTTGAGTCTTCCAGGAAGGCAAGTAAAAAACGCCACATGGCTTGGTCCCAGGCGTTCATCATGCCTAGAGTGCTGCTTTCACCACTGTCTCCCCTCCCTGCCAGTAGCTAGGTAGAGGTGGAAGAGCAGGGTCATCTTGGGCATGCTGCAAATACAGCATTTGCTGGTGTTGACATCTTCCTGGGGCTGTGGTGGCAGACTGCTGTGTTAGGAGCCCATTTCCCGGGAGTAGCAGAGAGCCCAGGTCCTCAAGGCAGCCTGAGATGGCAGCCCATACACCTAAGCGGGAGTACACTGCCCCTTTTCTCCAGTGCAGTTCAGCATTGAGGTTCTCTATTCCCAGTCGGTGATAAAACCTGAGCTGTTTTCCTCGTAGGTTCCCCTTCCCTTCCCCAACTTAGGGGAATGGTGGGAGGGGACAAGGGAGGATCACTGAGGGGGCAGGGGGATACCCCGGGGATCGGTGACCTGTCCCTCTTGCAGGTTCTTCACCAGTTGTGCAAGCCAGCGTTTCGTGGTGGTGTCATCTTTTAGCACCTGGGCAAAAGTTGTGTCCTTCAGCTGGTCAGGGAGGCACTGCCTGAGTGCTTCACGTGCCCTACATCAGAAACAAACAAACCAACCAGGAAGACCAACAAATAAACCCACATTTTAGGCAAGAGTTGCTTTCTTAGGTATACAGTATTCTGGGAATCTACTGCTCTGTCAAGTTATACTAAGAAATCACTTAAATAAGTTCATAGGCTCAGAGACCTCCAGAATCTGTAGTCTGTAAATATTTTCAGAATGATGCCCCACTGTAGAATTTCATGCAAAAGCAAAATGGAAAAAAAAAGATGTAATAACTTACTTCAAACTGCTTTCGGATATTTTTACAGTCAATACTGTCAAAATACTCAGGTTGGAAATAGGTGAGTTACAGTAAATGAAATAATTTCAAAAATCAGTATATTAAATAGCAGATGACCTCACTTGTATATGACAAATAATAAATTTTAACTTTGTACTAGCTTTACCAATTTGTATCTTTACAGAAATTGCTTCAATTTTATATTTTAAAATATTGGATACATGACAAAACCAAAAATTATCAGATAAACTTTTAAACATTTCATTTTCTTTCAAATAATTAGTAGAAAGTCAAATTTGAAAACCTATAAAAGGTAAACGTTAACTACTTTATAGCTAATTTAAACAAAGTTATACCTATTTTATTCAAGTACAATATTAAATCAACACATTTTCAAATCACGGTGAAAACAGAACCACTGAAGAAAAGGACAAAATGGTCAAAGAGATAGGTAGGGCTGGGCCTGGGGTTGTGGCTCAGTAGAGAGCACTTGCCTACCATGTGTGAGGCACTGGGTTCAAAACTCGGCACCACATAAAATAAATAAAATAAAATAAAGGTATTGTGTCCATCTACAAAACAAACAAACAAACAAAAACCCCCAAACAAACAAACAAAAAATAACTCTAGTTGCAGGAGACTAAGTTCACATTAAATCAGTTATCCCTATTTCTAGGAATACAGAAATCACTCCATTATGTGGTTTGGCAGAATCTGAACAAGTAGCTTTCAAAATAAATAATGGATTTATGAAACAAAAGGTCAAACATTTCTAAAATCAATTATATCTACAACGTATGATTTCTGACAAAGATTATCAACATAAGGAGATGAAATAATTAGCTCAAAGGACTTTACAGGAATGAGAGAATTAGAAATATAATTTTAGAGTCTTCTGGGTTATGGTCCTTTCTAAGATGATCTTTGGAAGTATACTTCTCTTTCTGACCACTTGGAATAGCAACAGAAAGCTCAAACCACAGGAGTAATGCATTACATAGGGTTTCCCTTGCAATTACCTAGACTCTGGAATTTCAGAGTAGGATAGAGAATTACATTGGGAAGATATACCTATGATGGATTTTTCAAATTTAGCATTTTAGATTTTAAAAGGAATTTTAGATTTTAAAAGGAACTCTATCTAAAACCAACTAAATAAAATTATATCCCTTCCTGTGTTAAAGATTCAGGGATCTATGCCATGAGATGTGGAGTCCAATCAGCAGAATATTTCCCTTAAATATTATAAATCCTGTAAATGTTTACCTGGGATTATCTGAGAGTCGAAGGTAACATCTTACTACATGCTTCAAAAGACGGGCAGAAGGCTCTTTGGATAGCTGCAGGACCATTTTACCCTGTTTTGCCCAAAATAGGGGGAAAGGTAGAAAAAAAACACAAAACAGAAAATAATTGTAATTGACATTGGAGATTAGATTGTCTAAAAATCATTATAAAGGTTCCAGAATTGCTATTTCTAATTAGAAGACTAAACCTGCTGAATGCCAACTGCAAAGAGACTAAGCTGTGGGATCAGAAGTATTTGCAAAGGGGGATGGGCATTATAGCCCACACCTGTAATCCCAGTTACTTAAGAGGCTGAGGTACTAGAATTTTAAGTTTGAGGTCAGTCTCAATTTAGTGAGACCCTATCTCAAAATAAAAAGGGCTGGGGATGAAGCTAAGTGGCAGGGCACACCTGGATTTAATCTCTAGTGTGGGGGGCCAAGGATGAAAATGAAGTAGGTAAAAAAACTCACCAAGATCATGGCAACATGGGAGAAACGTTCATATGTCTGACATATATAAGCCAAACCAGTGTCATCTAAGAGGATCTTCTGGAGGATGAATGTGGCAACCTGGAGTAAAACAAAAAGAGTTTAAAAAGTTGCTTAGACTTACTAACCAATTGTCCACTCAATTTCCCATCAATCAGTAAATTGCACAAGCAGAGACCCCTATATACCACATACAACTTATTCTACCACATATGCTTAGTACAAAAAGTTAAAAATATTACCATACTGAACATCACTATACATCAGGACTTTTTTCTAAAGGATTTATATACCCTTATTTTATCTTCCCAGTAAACTTATGAGGTAGACACTGTTATCTTCCCAAATAAATTCTTCCAATAAACTTATGAGGTAGAAACTGTTATTTTCAATTTACATAAAAGGGCAAGTCCTACAGATTTTTAAAAATCCAGGTTATAGAATATCTATTATGTGACATGCATAAACTACTAATCAAAGTGCCAGGATAAGGTTCCAAGTGACAAAGCTCAATCCCCACACCACCAAACAAGAACAAGAACAAACCAAGATTGACAAAAAAAAAAAAAAAAAAAAAAAAAAAAAAAGCCTCAGTATGTGGATTAAGTGGATGGAAGATCAGTGTTATATGCCTGATAAATTTGGGAGAAGGCTAGGTTCTTATATTTTCTGTGGGTTTGTGGGAGAGAGGTCATATATTCCTTTGAAAATCTGAAGAATGCAATAAACACAAGACTCAGGTGGCAGAGAATTCTTTTGGGATTCTGAATATAGACTGGCCACAAATATTCAGAGCTTGAAGAACAGGGGTAACTGAGGATACTTGGTTACCATATAATACTTTTAGTAGTTTTCTCGAAATATTTTAAGGCTTATCCTTAGTCTATTTTAAGTTTCCACTTACTCTAATTATTCTGAAGTTTCTCTACTTTTTCCAGAAGTGAAATTTAAAATTTCTCATAAAATTAAAATTCTGAAACTAAAAACAAACCAGAAAACCCCCAAACCTCAGAGTCACTTTCTCAATCAAGTTTTTACCATGTTTTTGATATCATCAAATGAAAAGCTGATGACATATAACATGAATTTGCTTTAATATCTCCTAAGATACATTGTTTCCTTTCTTCTTCTTCCTTTTTTTTTTCTTTTTTTTTTTGGGGGGGGCAGTTCTGGGGATTGAACCCAGGGTATTCAACCACTGGGTTGCATGCCCAGTCCTTTTTTAAATTTTGAGACAGAGTCTTGTGAAATTGCCCAGACTGGCCTCAAACTTGAGATTCCTTTGCCTTTAGCCTCCCAAGTAGCTGGGATTAGAGTTTGTACCACCTTGCCTGGTTTGTTTCCTTACCTCGCTGTTGAAATATAAGAAACAAAGTAGGAATACTAAGATATAATTTGATATGATATAAAATATAATATAGGAGAGGATAAATTTGAAGAGAATCACACATACCTTGTTACAAACTTAAGCTAAAACATTTAATTGCAATCTGAATGGTAGTATTTATCTTAAATGGTGATTTTCAAATAACTCAAGAAAATGTGACTTAACACATAAGTAACTTTCCCAAATACCTTATTCCAAAGGGGAGGGCAGAAACAAATGGTAGGAAAGAGAGATTTCTGAATTTGTGCTGTGAGGATAGCATTTAGAATATGTTATTTTCTTCTAAAATTTTTCTAATTAACATAAAAATATTAATACTTATGTAATTGTTCTTGTTAGCACAGTGGATCAAAGCAGCTTCATAGTGTCTAGGTTCAAATCTCATGTTTCATCATTTCTATGAAATTTTAGGTAAATTAAGTACCCTAAGCCTTTGTTTCTCATCTGTGCTATGGAGGTGACAATCGTGAGAATCTGATGGAATAATGCACATATAGTGGTTACAATAATTGGCATTGGGCGTGATGGTACAAGCCTGTAATCCCAGCAGCTCAGGAGGCTGAGGCAGGAGGATCACAAGTTTACAGCCAGCCTTGGGGCTGGGGATGTGGCTCAAGCTACCGCTCGCCTGGCATGTGTGCGGCCCGGGTTCGATCCTCAGCACCACATACAAACAAAGATGCTGTGTCCGCCGATAACTAAAAAAATAAATATTAAAAAAAAAATTCTCTCACTCTAAAAAAAAACAAAAACAAAAAACAAGTTTACAGCCAGCCTCAGCTGTGAGGCCCTAAGTAACTCAGTGAGACCCCATCTCTAAATAAAATACAAAATGGGGCTGGCTAAGTGCTCCTGGATTCACTCCCCAGTACCAAAAAAGGCACATATCAGACACTTAGTAAATGTAACAAATTATGCAATAATTAGTATTTATGAAACAGGAACACCATGCCTAAGAATAACAAGATTACTTACTAATTAACATTTGTGTTGTCTACTCATTTATCATTGGTCTATATTATGTAGATTACCTAATCAAAATATGTAATGTTTATGGCATTTAAAACATATTTCCCCCTTAATTTCTTTTTTTTTAAATTTTAATATTTATTTTTTAGTTTTCGGTGGACACAACAGCTTTGTTTGTATGTGGTGCTGAGGATCGAACCAGGGCCGCAAGCATGCCAGGCGAGCGCGCTACCGCTTGAGCCACATCCCCAGCCCCGCCCTTAATTTCTTACAGCAATTAATCTGCTTAAGACCTTTCTTTAATGTATTAAGGTTTCATTATATCTCAGTCTTGTTGGTCTTCAGACAAAATACAACTTACAGAATATCCTGTAATAAAATAAGTTTGGAAAATGTTTTCTTTCTTTTTCTTTTTTTTTTTTTAGAATTATTTATTATTTATTTTTTAGTTTTCGGTGGACACAACATCTTTGTATGTGGTGCTGAGGATTGAACCCGGGCCGCACGCATGCCAGGCGAGCACGCTACCGATTGAGCCACATCCCCAGCCCCGAAAATGTTTTCTTAACAGAGATGTTTTGCCTACATTTAAAGAGATGTCACCAAAGTAGAAATGAGTATTTCTGCCATAGTTATAAGAAGTCAACTTGAAAAACCTATTCACAAGGCTGGGGATATAGCTAAGAGGGAGAGAGCTTGCCTATCATTCATGAGCCCTGGGTTTCATCCCTAGTACTGCAAAAAGAAAGAGAGAAAAACAAAAACAATACCAAAACCAAATTCTTCACAGGCAAATAATAATAAAAGATGAGCATACAGTTTTATGCATTCTAATCCTGTCCTTGAAATACACTGAAATTAATAAAAATAACTAAAATTAGGGAAGAATTATGAAAAGCATGAAATAAAGGTTCACATGTCACTTGTCTTTTGTGTGTATAAGCAGAAAACTGCGGACAGAGGTATAAATTTCCTTAACACACACACACATACACATCACAGAATGGAGGACTTACTGGAAAAGTATTTGGAGCCCGGGGCAGTGGCACATGCCTATGATCCCAGAGGCTCAGGAGGCTAAGGCAGGAGGATTGCGATTTCAAAGCCAGCCTCAGCAATAGCGAGGCACTAAGCAACTCAGTGAGACCCTGTCTCTAAGGAAAATACAAAATAGGGCTGGGGATGTGCCCCTGAGTTCATTCCTCAGTACCAAATAAAAAAGGTATCTGGAGGTAAAGTACTTGACTTAAAGTTCATAGAACTTCTCCTTATCTATCACTTAAAATAATAATCCTTGATAGAAATCTCCACATGGAAACTATGGAGACATACCCCCCAAAGAGGTAACAAGTAATAATTATCTATGCTTTAGGTCTGATGTTGTAATATTCATTCATTTAAAAAAATTTATTGTGATTAGAGCAGAAGTTGGATACTGCAAAATAGAGTTAGCAAAATGGAAAAGAAGCCGTGAGAAAAATCAAATGATGTGAAATAATATAAAATGTTAGGGGGGGGGAGTATGAAAGATAGACAAAGTAACATAACTGATGTTGCTGAAACAAGAGACTAGAACAAATTAAAAAACCATAAAAACAAACACAAAAGCAGGGATATGCTCTTCTAATAAAAATCTGATACAGATTATTAAAGAATTTAAAAACTAATAAAGAAGCTTATAGATATCCACACAAAAAAAGGCAAGCCAAGCCACCTACAAAAGGAAAACATTAGGATGGCCCAAGACTTGGACACAACATTAATGTCTTAAGACAATAAGTCTAGGACAACAAAATTCTCAGAGGGAAAAATGAGATAAAAGAGGCAGAAAGTGATCCTTGGATCATAAAAGCAGCAGTTCAAGAGCCAAAACAACGTAGACCAGTAAGGGCACATACTGTTTTAGAAAGTTCACTTCCAGATTCCATAATGCGCAAACACAAAGGGATAATTTCTGTTGTCAATAAAAAGTTGATTACTTCTTGCTCATCTGTTTTCACCAAGGCCCCTAAAGAAAATATGACAAACAAAATTATTTTTGAGTCAGGATTTTCAGTTAAATTAATTTTGTACTGCTCGTCAAGTTAGTTGTGGAATTTAAATAACTAAGAACACAAACTGAGGTTTCTATGCCAAAGAATCAGATTCACACCTCTATTAAAAAAAAAAAAAAAGGAAGAAAAGCACAGGTTGATTTTATTAGTCATCACCGAAAGACCAGACATCAAGTTTGGTTCATCCTACAGTTAGCAGTGGTTTAGCCACCTTTTAAATAATATGTTTATCATTCTTGTTAGACGATCTTAGAACAATACCACCAATCTGTCCTCTACTTATTTTAGGTTAGGGAGAATTCTGCATCAGTATAAAAGCATATTTCCAGGTAGCAAAGAAATGGTGTCAATCTGAAACACAACTCACAGGTTATTTAATTGCCTCTTTTCTCAAAGAGCACAAATATTGTAGGACAAAACTAAGGAAATTACAAAACAAAACAAAAAATTAAACAGGGCTGGGGTTGTGGCTCAGTGGTAGAGTGCTTGCCTAATGTGTGAGGCACTGGATTTGATCCTTAGCACCACATAAAAAAATAAAATAAACAAAATAAAGGTACTGTGTCAATCTACAACTAAATTTTTTTTTTAAAATTACAAACAAGAGGGCTGGGGATGTGGCTCAAGCGGTAGCGCGCTCGCCTGGCATGCGTGCGGCCCGGGTTCGATCCTCAGCACCACATACCAACAAAGATGTTGTGTCCGCCGAAAACTAAAAAATAAATATTAAAAATTCTCTCTCTCTCTCTCTCTCCTCTCTCACTCTCTCTTTAAAAAAAAAAATAAAAAAAAAATAAAATTACAAACAAGAAACACACACACACCTAGATTATAATCCTGTGTCCCCAGTTAGTTTACCAACTTGATAGTTACTTTCCCTTTGTAGATCTATTTCTTTATCAATAAAATGAGACGAGAACAGATGACTCCTAAAATTCATTCCATTCTATTATTCTGTGAGTTTCTAGTCACTGATAAAAACGAATGATAAAGCTGATCAGGCGATGGACATAGCTCAGTGACATCTTTTTCAGTCTATACACAGGGAAGCAGGGCCCCTTAAATGACTTAAGCTGCTCAATGCATCACTAGCTTTTATATAAATACTTGAATCTGTAATAACTAAAATCAATTATCTTGAGAAAGAATGGGGAATGCCAGAACTGGTAAATTATAATGCCACATCTCTAAACTCCACACCAACCAGTATGAATAATTTTCAAATGTGGCCTAAGGCAGCTATCAAATTAATTTTTTCATTTAGATTTAAAATGTAGACCTATGATCCATACTGAATTAAATTTTTAAAAAATATTTTAGTTGGGGGCTGGGGATGTGGCCATGTATGTATGTCTGGACTCTCCATTCTGCTGCAATGATTTACAAGTTAATTTTATCCAATACCACAATGTTTTAACTACTGTAGTTTTCCAGTAGGTCTGGATCAGGTAGTATACATCTTCCAACTTTGCTCTTCTTTTAAAAAGTGTTTGAATTTTTTAGTTCCTCTGTCTTTCCGTGTAAATTTTATTTATTTTTTGTAGTACTGTGGATTGAACCTAGAGTCTCAGACTTACAAGGCAAACACTCTAACACTAAACCCTCCAACCCACTTTCTTTATGAATTTTAAGATCAGTGCATTGGGTCAGGCTGCCATAGACTGCTGACTTACATAACTGAAAAAACCTGAAATTTATTTTCTTACAGTTCTGGAAGCTGGAAGCCTGATATCACAATGCCAATAAGGAAGGGTTCTGGTAAGGGCTCTCTTCTTGACTTGAAGATGTATACCCTTCTTGATGTGCCCTCATGTGGCAAGGACAGAAAGAAAGCAAGATCGCTCATTGTCTATTTATTTATGTATTTACTTTTAAACTTTTTTTTTTTTTTGAGAGAGAGAGAGAGAGAGAGAGAGAGAGAGAGAGGGAGAGAATTTTAATATTTATTTTTTAGTTTTCGGCGGACACAACATCTTTATTTGTATGTGGTGCTGTGGATCAAACCCGGGCCGCACGCATGCCAGGCGTGCGTGCATCCCCAGCCCCTTGTCTATATATTTATAATACTAATCTCATCATGAGGGTCCTGTCCTCATCTTAATTTAATTGGGTCCCAAAAGGCTCATCTCTAAATTCCATGACATTAGGTTTCAACATATGAAAATCTGAGAACAGAAAATCTATCTACAGAAATGATTGTATGATTTTTTTCTTCTCTCTTCTGTTGACAGGTCATATTGGTCGATATTCGAAAAGCTGAACCAAATTTATATTCATAATGATCTTTTTTATTTATTGCTGAGTTTATTAGTATTTTATTGAAGATTTCTACACCAGTGTTCATGAGGGATACTAGCCTGTGATTTGCTTTTCTTGTAAAGTCTCTGCTTTTATGGTCAGTGTAATGCAGGCCTCACAAAAGTTGAAAGGTTTCCCCTTCCTTCTATTTTTTTTTTTTTTTAAAGAGAGAGTGAGAGAGGAGAGAGAGAGAGAGAGAATTTTTTTAATATTTATTTTTTAGTTCTCGGCGGACACAACATCTTTGTTGGTATGTGGTGCTGAGGATCGAACCCGGGCCGCACGCATGCCAGGCGAGCGCGCTACCGCTGAGCCACATCTCCAGCCCCCCTTCCTTCTATGTTGTGGAAATGTGCAGAACTGGTTTATTTCTTCTTTCAATTTCTGGTATAGGACACTAATAAAACCATCAGAGCCTACAGTGTTCTAAGTTAAAAAGTTTTTAACTAGAAAAGCAATTTGATACAAGGCTACTAAAGTTATCTATTATTTCTTTTAGATATACATGACAGTACAGTGTTTTTTGACATATTATACATACATGGAGTATAACTTCCCATTCTTGTGGTTGTACACCATGTGGAGTTACGCTGGTTATGTATTCATACATAAACATAGGAAAGTTATGTAAATTCATTCCACTGTCTTTCCTATTTTCATCCTCCCTCCCTTCCCTTCATTCCCCTTGGTCTAATCCATTAACTTCTATTCTTACCTCCCCCCCTTATTGTGTGTGTTAGCATCTACATATCAGAGAGAACATTTGGTCTTTGGTTTTTTGAGATTGGCATATTTCAATTTAGAATTGGCAATTTAAAAATGCTACATCTCTCAACTCCATGACAGTCTCCCGTTCCATCTGTTTACCAGCAAATGCCATAATTTCATTCTTATTTATAGCTGAATAATATCCCATTGTGTACACATACCACATTTTCTTTATTCATTCATCTGCTGTAGGGCACCTAGGTTGGTTCCATACCTTAGCTATTGTGAACTGAGCTGCTATAAACATTGATGTAGTATCTATTATTTCTTGAGTGCAATCTGACAAATAGTGTCTCTTAAAGAATTTTACTATTTCATCTAAGTTGTTAATTTTTAAGCAGAGCTGTTAATATTCCTTTATTATCCTTTTAAAGTCTGAAGAGTCAAGTGATGTGCCCTCATTCATTCATATTTGTAATCTGTACTGACTTTTCCCCCAGTGAATCAACTTTTGGTTTCACTCATTTCTTTTTTATGGTTCTAGGAAGAGCCTCGAGTACGCTAGACAAGTACTCTATCACTAAGCTACATTCCCAGTCTGGTTTCAATGATTTTTATCTCTTGTTTTTCTATTCTCATTTTTCATTAACTGTCAGTCTTTACCATATCCTTTTTTTTTTTGTTTGATTTAATTTGCTTCTTTTGGTAGCTTCTTTTATATATACATATATATAAAAAATACATATATATTTTATTAGAGATGGCCTCACTGAGTTGTTTAAGGTCTATGTTGCTAAAGCTGGCTTAGAACTTTATTATCTCCTCATTCTTAACCTTTATCCTAATATCTCATAAATTTACCACCCCACTGTAATGGTCAATAAAACCAGCAGAAGTAAGATGAGTTAAGAAAGAATTAAGGATCTAAGTATTTTATTTTGGCTGGAATTATACTGATGCCCTACATGAAAAATTCTGGTAGCTTAAAAGCAGAAAAGAATATTATTGGGAAAAATTTCTAATTAGAGTACCAACTGGGAGATGTAAAAACCAGAAACATTCATTTGAAGCATATAAGGTAATGGTTGGGCTGGGGCTGTAGCTCAGTGGCAGAGTGCTTGCCTTGCACATATGAGGCATTGAGTTCGATCCTTAGCACCACATAAAAAAAAAAATAAAGACATGCTGTCCATCAATTAAAAAAAAAAAAAAAGGTAATGGTTACTCCTTAGAAGAATAAAATGTACTTGAGACATACATCTTGGAAATACCAACTTTTAAAATCATTTCCTGATTTATGGTCTATAATTATAGGGACACAAACACAGGTTGAGCATTAAAACAATACATTACCAAGTCTGTGTAATTAGTTTTCTTTTCTTTTTTTTTTTTTTTGGTTAGTACAAAAGCAAAAAATTTAAAAGACACTAAGAAAGAAAGGGTGATTTGGAAAATAAATCTTCTTGAATGTATTATATTCCATAATATAGTAGATATTCCAAAGATAGTTCCTTACTACTTAGGAGTCTGAGGTCTGAAATAGTTGATATGTTATATTCTTGAGCAATAAGTATTTCACCTATGTTCCCCACAGTAATTATACATAAAAACACTAACTGAAGCATGAAAAAAATAACTAGGTAAAGTAGTAGAAAGAAAACCCCTCAACTTATGGGAGAAGAGCTTATAAATGGAAAAAAAAAAACATTAAAAAAGGTAAGTCCAGAATTACTTTTATTCCTGTAATAATATTCTGTTGAATCAAATTATTATTCTTTACTCTCCCTTGCCAGCAAATGTTTCTACATACATACTGAACTGAATTCTAAATATTAGTCCTCAAAGTCTTACAACATGTAGTATGGTGTTTGACAATCATTTATCATGTTCCCATAACTCAGTTATTAATGAATGGGATAAATTCAAAGACCAAAAGAATAAGTCATAAGAAGCAAGACAAAATATTTCAACTTAGACCACTTCAGAATGAGGATTTCAGTCTTACAAAACAACCCTAACAACTTACCAATAACTCCAAGGCTAGTAAGCCGAAGATACTCAAAGGGACGTGTTTTGCTGACAGTGTGCAAAAAGGGGTACAAAAAAAGTGGGATGTGTGCTGCAAGAAAAGCTGACCTGGAAGAAAAAAAAAAAAAAACAAAAAAACACATTCACAGCTTGAAGATGATTTTTAAGTATTTTTTTTAATATTTATTTTTTAGATGTAGTTGGACACAATATTCCCATTTTATTTATTTATTTCTATGTGGTGCTGAGGATTGAACCCAGGGTCTCACACATGCTAGGCAAGTGCTCTACCACCCACCACAATCCCAGCTCGATTTCTAAGTATTTTGAACATTCAAATCCAAGCAGTTAATTCTGTAAGGCGTATAACAATCTTCAGAAAGGAAATTTATGGGTCATTAGTTTCAACAAATGGCTCTCAAATAGGGTGCTTTAGCTCCTATGGAATGTTTTAACAATGTCTGGATTCATTTTGGTTGTCAGAATTAAGGGATGTGGAAGGTACTGGCATTCAATTGATAGAGGCCAAAGATGCAACTAAACATCCTACAATGCATATGACAGTCCTCTCTTGCTTTTCTTTTCCCACTATCAAGACTTATCCAATTCAAAATGTCAATGGTGCCTCTACTGAACAATACTAGTACAGGGCAGGGTGGATAAGGGAACACACACCATGTACCTTAAAGACTTTTTAACTTAAAATAGCCAACTGTGAATTTAAAAAACGTATCACTTGGGGCTGGGGTTGTGGTTCAGTGGTAGAGCGCTTGCCCTGCATGTATGAGGCACTGGGTTCGGTCCTTAGCACCACATAAAAATAAATAAAGGTACTGTGTTCATACAACTAAAAAAACAAAAAACAAAAAACCCCCAGATCACTAAATGCTATTAAGTTCCCAGGAGATTCTCCTAGGTTACCTCCTCACCTAATTTAGGACTGAATAGATAAAACTTATAAACCAAGATAACAAGACAAAGTAGTCATCATAAGGTTTATATGCTATGTTTAAATGCAGTTTTCTTTTTTGTTAGGGCATTTCAAATATACTAAGCATTCTTAAAACCAGTCTATTACTTTGTATTATTTATTGTTATACCTGTAGCAGAATCAACACCCAAGATTTTTAACAAATTACTCTTGGATTTTTGTTAAGTGCTTAAAAATAATTTTCTTCCTAATTTTCTAAATCTCTGAAAGGTCACAGTGCCACAAAACACTCAGATGTCATAAGAAAACTGGACAAAGAGAAAAAAAGCTTTAACAAGTGTTTCAGGGACCATGAAAGCCACAAAACAGATTCCTGAACAGGTTATTTCCCTTTTCCTAATTTTCCATACATGCAAAAATGGTAAAAAAGTTAACTTTCAAGCCAATTCCTAGAATCCTATGTTGAGTAGGATTTTGAAGTCAAATAAGGGTTTAGTGGGGAAAAAGGCTTAAATAATATTTACGAATTACTATTATATATTATGTATAGCAGAGTTGTCTATGACAGATTTGGGATGGAGAAGCAGCTGTATCACCTTTCCTGTGGTATGAATATTGCTCTTTTAAAGTTCATTGTCATGAATGGGAAAAAGTAAGAGCCCTGAAGACACACAAAAAAAAACCACATTTCACATCCCTTCTGTTTTCACTTTCACGCAGCAACAGTTTAGAATTGTTTTCAATATAAACCTCCCCCTACCAACTCACTCAAAGCATTTACCTGGTTTCTGGGTGTGATGCCACACACTGCAGTAATGCCAGAGCATTGCAAACTCTGTTAGATTGGTGTGCTGTCAACGTGGGTGGGTTAATAGATGGATAAATATTTACAATTTCCTAAAAAATGGAAATCAGCACCAGATGAACGAGGAGTAACTAATTATAAAATTAATTCATATTAAAGTACTACTAATTATAATATTAATTCATATTAAAGTAAAGCAAAAACAAAAACAAAAAAGCCTTTGAACTACATGTATCCTACAAAAACTGATGTATCAAAGAAGGAGTAGAAATAAACAATGCTCTTATCCTTTGATCACAAACATATTTGACTAATTACCTAAGGCATTTCTACATGCGTCTCTAGGAGGATTCTACAGAAACAACTGTAGTCATCTACATTTTTTCTTTCTGCAGCTACTGAGTCTGTCACCTGAGGGACCCTTATATTTTTATAATTTCTCTTTTTGTCATCCTGCTTTAGGTTATAATGATTAATCACCGGCCAGAAATTATTAGTAAGTCAACCAAAGTGACTCACAAAGAAGTTTATTTTGGTTAGGTAGCAACTTCAAAAGAGGAGCAGAAGGACATACTTAGTTGAGTATGAGTGAGGATATGTATAAATAGCAGTGAACATGATAGGTACTCAATCAAAAAGTGATAGTTTGCTGAATACAATTCCATTTATTTTAACTGTAAAACCTCTATGCAAAATGTTCTTATAAGAGGCTGCGGTTGTAGCTTGGTGACAGAGTGCTTGCCTAGCATGTGTGAGGCACTGGGTTTAATCCTTAGCACCATATAAAATTCGTAAGTAATGTAAAAGTATTGTGTCCATCTACTACTATGAAAAAAAAAAGTTCTGGGCTGGGGATATAGCTCAGTTGGTAGAGTGCTTGCCTCGCAAGCACAAGGCTCTGATCCCCCAGCACAAAAAACAAAACCAACAAAACAACAAAAAACCTCCATCCGTTTAAAGTATTCAAAGTCCTTTAAGCAAAGGCACAGAAAAATTCAAGTGCAATGAATCTGACTGAACTGTCATTCAGAGATATATACTCACCTGTAAAAGTGCTGCAATAGTACCAAATGAATGCCACAGCATGGGTGCAAGGTCAGGAACAGATTCTCGCTTCTTACTTAGCTCTAGCAAAGCATTTTCCCTTGTCTCAGGACTGGACAGCTCGTTGATCCACTGATAGATCTTTTCCCTATCTACTTGAGCCAGTGCAGTAGGCACAGGCTTCAGGGGAAAAAAAAGAAAAAAGAAAAAGAAAATGTGAGTTAATTAGAATCGAACAAAATCTTACCCTGTAACAGTGCTTTAGAGGAAATGTATTTTTCATAAACATCAGGGGAGCTTTTCTTAATATATACTCTTCATGTAAACTAGTTCAACCTATTTGTCAGTTATCAATGCTCACATGCATTAATAATTCCATGTTTAGGAATTTATCCCAAGTTTACTTGGGCTTACTGAATATACACCAGGATGTTCACTGTTGTGCTTTTTAAAAGCAGAAACTGACAACGATTTATCAATAAGGGACTAGTTAAATAAGTATTGGTGCATGTCTATAATGAATACTATGAAGTTTAGTAAAGACAGTTCTATATATACTAATAGTAAAAAAAAAAAAAAAAAAAAGAAAGGGGGAACAGAATAACCTGTATAACATGCTTCCACTAATATATACAAACATATTCTTATATTTACATACCACATTTCTAGGACACATGTTAATAATAGTTATTTCCAAGGCTAGAGATTTACATAGGAGCTTTAAGTTTCACTATATATAATAAAAGCTTCTGCATAAACATTTGTTCAAACCATTAATTACTGAGAGGGAAAAAATTATACTCTTCCCATCCATTACTGATTCTTTCTTATTAATTTTGACAACCTTTTCCATGGACCAGAAAACCCACAACATGGAAAAGTACTTTCTCCTGATTTTTTTTTTTTTTTTTTAATGGAGCTAGGGATTGAACCCAGGGCCTTGTGCATGACAGGCAAGCACTCTTCCACTGAGCCACATTTCCAATCCCTCCAAATGATTCTGTTTTTTTTTTTAATGCCTTTATTTGTTTCATTTTTATGTGATGCTAAAGATCAAACCCAGTGCCTCACACATAAGGCAAGTGCTCTGCCACTGAGCTACTGCTCCAGCCCCAAATGATTCTTACATATACACTGCATGTCCATCCCTTTCAAAGCATCCATTATTACTAACATAAGAACTAAGCAAAATTTTAAAACATGCTTTCACTGCTTTGCTGAAGAATTGCAACATTCCTCTTAAATTTGAGCATTTCTACAATTCTCCACATTTGCCAAATAGCCTTGTAACCTTAAGATCCTTAATTATTCTCATCTTGAAAACGAGATGACAGACTAAAAAAATTATTACAATTGCTGTTTCTAAACTTATAAACTTCTACAAATTCATGGTGATTTCTATCACCTATGCCCAATAGTTTTTCATGGAGTATTTACCAAATCATGAGGAAATAAAAGGGTGGATGGGTAGATAAAAAGGTGAGCTACACTCGCAGATAAAATAACACTCAGAAGAGCTGACTTGCTCAATTCATCCAGGTATAAAGCTGTATATGCAAATGCTTTCTTGAAGTGTATTACACAGCTTCTCATAATATTGACAAGTTCCCAATACATTTTGGTGTGATGGAATGAAGACCTACCCACTGCATAGATAGAAAGACAACAGAAAGAATTGCTTTTGTTGAAGAAGTATAAGATGGACTTTGAGATGGACTCAAATTTCCTCTATCTAACCCGAATGATGGCCTTCTATAAATGGAAACTTGATTAGAAGCTTTTATCTTGGTACTTATTTCACTTGCCTAATAGAATGAACCACAAGTTGGCAAAACGAATTATCATGCAGCTTACAACTTCTATTACAGTAAACTGCTAAAAGCTGCTTTGCAATTCTGACTGGTGATGCTCCTAAATGAATCAAAGGCTCCTAGGGCAACAAGAAGATTGAAAGAACATTCCTCCAGCAAAAGCAGTATTGTTCAAGTACTTACCCTTTCCATGTTGCTGCAGATAGGTTCTAACTCAAAAACTATAGTATTTGTTATTCCTACCAGAAGAAAGGGTATGTGTTTATTTATTTAGAGTTTTCCATCACCTTAAAAGATGAATGGAAACACGGGCTAAATTTTACTTTTTGGCACTTTTAAATTGTAGTTGGACACAATAACTATTTATTTTTATGTGGTATTGAGGATCGAACCCAGCATCTTGTACATGCTAGGCAAGTGCCTGATTGCTGAACCACAACCCTAACCCATCTACTTTTTGAGACAGGGCATAGCTACATTGCTTAGAGCTTGCTAAATTGCTTTGACTGAACTCAAATTTGCATTCCTCCTTTCTCATCCTCCCAAGTTACTAGGATTACAGGCTTGCACCACTGCCCCTGGTCTTCATTAGATCATGATGATAATAAAATGCAAAATGTATCTTATTTTCTGAATCCCAAGGACTATTTAGGCATACCTTTCACAAAAACAGAAGATCTAAAAATTAAACTCTTCCTAAAAGGGGATGAGGAGTGAAACAAGGGGTAGAATGGGTGAGGAAGAAGAGGGAACTGTGTGTATTTTTAAAGGCAGTTTTATTTAAGTTTACAACAAAGGTACTTATTATCCTCATTTTACAACCAGCGAAACAGCAGATTTCCTCCTCATCCCATTCTAAAGATCATCAAGCCAGGTGTAGTGGCATGCACTTGTAGTCCCAGCTACTTAGGAGGCTAAGGCAAGAGGATCAGGTAAGCCTGATTTCAAGTCACCTTGGGTAACACAGCGAGACCCTGTCTCAAACTCTCTAAAGATTTCTAGTTCAGATGATAAAGGTCTATTTTAATCTACTAACACATTTCCGAAGCTATGGTTGATGGTTGATATGAAGGGGCTGGGGTTGTGGTTCAGCAGTATAGCATTTGCCTAGCATGTTCGAGGCCCTGGGTTCAATGCTCAGCATCACATAAAATAAATAAAATAAAGGTATTGTGTTCAACTACAACTAAAAAAAAAAGCATCAAATGAAAATATGGGGGCTGGGGATTTGGCTCAGCAGTAGCATGCTGGCCTGGCATGCGTGAGGCCCGGGTTCGATCCTCAGCATTACATACAAACAAAAGATGTTGTGTCCGCTGAAAACTGAAAAATAAATATTAAAATTTAAAAAAAAAAAGAAAATATGGGTCTTTTCTTTCTTTTTTTTAAAGAGAGAGTGAGGAGAGAGAGAGAGAGAGAGAGAGAGAGAGAGAGAGAGAGAGAGAGAATATTTTTTTTAATATTTATTTTTTAGTTCTCGGCGGACACAACATCTTTGYTGGCATGTGGTGCTGAGGATCGAACCCGGGCCGCACGCATGCCAGGCAAGCGCGCTACCGCTTGAGCCACATCCCCAGCCCAAATATGGGTCTTTTCCTCAGAAAAACACACAATACAAAAACGTAAAAACCTACACATAATTTTAGGTAATTCACGGACTTCTTGCAGAATCAAATACAAAAATGTTTATCAAATTAAAAAAAAATAGAAAAGACCTCAATTTGCAAATAACTATATAAGTGCATAAATGGAATGAATGCACACTAAATTGCAAGCCCGAATGGCTTTAAAACCCAGATTAGCCATTTCTAGAATTCTGCAACCTAGGGATAAGTCATTAACTTTTCAAGTCTTAATTTTATTAAAGTGCAGGAACTAAATTAAATAATTACTGGCTTTAGTCATTTCTACCTTAGAAATTATTTCATTCAGTTCTGAGACATCAGTTTTATTGAGGTATAATTTGCATACAAAGCATGCCAGTTTAAGTGTATGTGTCAATGAATTTTGACAAATTTATACATCTAGTAACCACCACAATTAAGATGTAGATCACTTCCATTATCCCAGAAAGTTCTTTAATGTCCTTTTCAGCCAGTCCTAGGTACCCATGAATATTTTCTGCTGATCAGGGCTGCCTTTGCTGGGTTTGGTGGCACACACCTGTAATTCCAGTAGCTTGGGAGGCTGAGGCAGGAGGATTGTGAGTTCAAAGCCAGCCTCAGCAACTCAGCATGACCCTGTCTCTAAATAAAATATAAAAAGAATCTACAGAACTTCAAGTTTAGTATTCTGACATAGTTCACTAATTTGGATTTGGATAAACAGTTCAATTACATACTCAGACACAAAATTGTTTGAGAAGTATGATTTAGAATGTGTTTTACCGGGGCTGGGGTTGTGACTCAATGGTAGAGCGCTCACCTCACATGTGCAGGACCCTGGGTTCAATCTTCAGTACCACATAAAAATAAATGATATTGTGTCCAACTACAACTAAAAGGGCTGATGTACATTACTGCATTTTAATTATAACCTGCTAAAGTCAACAGTCCTTTCAACAGTTGTTTAAAAATATATTATCGAGCTGGGGCTGGGGCTCAGTGCTAGTGCACTTGCCTGGCATATGTGAGGCACTGTGTTTGTTCGATTCTCAGCACCACATATAAATAAATAAAATAAAGGTCTATCAACAACTAAAAAAAAAAAAAAGAAAGAAAAAAAGAAACCTAAAAACAAAACTAAAAAAGAAAAAATATTATCAAAACTTATTAGGGAACTGTTCTTTTTCTGTGGTCCTCAGGACTGAAACAGGGCTTCATACAGGCTAGGCAAGAGCTCTACCACTCAGCTACACCCACAGTCCTTTTTCAAGTGTTTATTTTATTCTGAGATAGGGTTTTGCTAAGTTGACCAGAATGGTCTTGAACATGCGATGATCTTATCTCAGGTTCCTGAGTTTGCTGGGATTATAGGTATGTGCCACCATGGCAGGCATGTTTCCCCATTTTTGTTTAATGGTTTGTATGCAGAAAATGTATTTTGAGTAACACTTTATTTTTCTTTCCACAAAGCTCAGCACAGGCAAGATATTTACGAAAGTGGGACATCAATGGTTAATTACAAGTATCACAAACACGATGATACAGACAGTTGGTCTTCTATCTATGAAATATCCTAACATTTAATATGAAAAGTAGAAAGATATTTAGAAGTTATTTTAAATAAAACACACTCAAATTTATTGATAACGTCCCCTTTGAGTAAATTAAAAAATTGATGATGACTTTCTTAAACAGAAAATAGCCAAATTATCAATATCACTTTATGTTTTAAGGGCCATAGTTCTTTATTTTCCTACCAATGAAAATGGACAGTAAGGCTGAGGTTGTAGCTCAGTGGTAGAACGCTTGCCTAGCAAACAGTTCAATTCTCAGAAACATAAATAAATAAAGGTCCAAGTCAGATGAGGTGGTGTATGCCTATAATCCCAGTGGCTCAGGAGGCTGAGGCAAGAGAATCACGAGTTCAAAGCCAGTTCAGCAACTTAGTGAGGCAGTTAGCAACTCAGCAAGACCCTGTCACTAATTAAAAAAAAAAAAAAAAAGAAAGAAAGAAAAAAAGAAAATGTCACAGTAAATAAAATATAGGATTAGTTTGAAATGAAAATTATTATCTTAAGTCTGTGACTCAACATGTGGTTTTGCACGTCAACATAATAATGATACTATTATATAATATACTTTCTAGGGTTAGGGATATAGTTCAGTGACAGAATGCTTGCTTGCATGCATGAGGCTCTGGGTTCCATCCCCAGCATCACAAACCAAACTACACCAAACTGAAACCTAAAAATCTTATCCTCATTAACTTAAGAGCTAAATGGTTTTTTTTTCCCCCAAGATAACTTTAAAAAATGGATGAATAAAGTTAAGAAAAGTTCAGCAACTTGCTTAGAGCTTCAGTAGGAGACTTGGGAGAAAACAATGAATTAGATACTGTAGAGTGCATAGTTCTACTTGTCAATGGGGAGGGCATCTGGGAGTCAATCACAGCTTCAACACAAAGATATAAAACAACTAATGATGCTGCTGGTTAGTTGGACAGCAAGAGAAACACAAAAGCTGACAGATGCTAAAACTGCCAACAGAAATCAGTGAAAAGAATTTTAAAAATGCATATCTAACGCATCACATAAAGGTTTACATTTGTCTATTTTACTAGCATAACTAAACACCTCTGTTACAGAAGACCTATGGCACAAGAGGATTGGTAGTTCTATTAATCTGAAGCAACATAGTAGTACGTTACTTTATCAAGAATCAAGAGTCATTTAACCAGTAAGCGAACCTAGCCAAGCGGAGAGCAATTTGTTATTCTTATTATTTTTTAGACTAATTCTGTGTAGTACTTCTGTTCCCATTTAATAGAGAGAAAATTGACTTGAGCACACTCCTCTGAAGGCCATTTCCACTTGAATTTCAAAATATAATTTCAGAAGGATGTTACAGTTTCTGGCGACAGCAATGAAATTGATAGGATATATCCATAATGACAAGAACTAACTAAACTATAAATTTTTAGTTCAGTAAAATACTACTGAAGATAAAATTTAAGATATTTTTTCAAGTATCTCTAAATCACTTATTCTCCCACTAATGAAGACCATCCTACATTCACATGTGATTACATTCTTCTTTGATAGTACTTTCGGTCTCCCTTCCTATAGGGATGATTTTCCTGCTGTTTAGTTTAGCGTACTGTAGGCGCTGTTGCAAGTATTAACTCTTCTCAATTTCTAGTGAATGATACATCATTACTGGCCTTTTACTCAGAACAGAAGAATACAAAGGAAAGAAATGAGGGATTGAGAAGGAGGTGGCTCAACTTTTCATGTTTCAGTTTCATCACTAATTAAATATCCTTGTATGAGTGGTGCAAACAGCATAACAAGTGCAAATGCAAGAAAAATTCAAATCTTTAAGCTAACGTGAGGAATTGTAAAATAATTAAGAAACATGTATTGAATATTTATGTAATGTACTACAGGTTTTTTTTTTTTTAAATATTTATTTATTTATTTTAGTATTTGGTGGACACAACATCTTTGTTTGTATGTGGTGCTGAGGATCGAACCCGGGCCGCACGCATGCCAGGCGAGCACGCTACCGCTTGAGCCACATCCCCAGCCCTGTACTACAGTTTTAATGGCTGTTCAAAAGATGCATTAAGCCGGGTGTGGTAGTGCACTCCAGTAATCCCAGAGCCTCCAGAGGCTGAGAGAAGACGATCCAGAGTTCAAAGCCAGCCTTGGCAAAAGTGAGGTGTTAAGCAACTCAGTGAGACCATCTCTATATAAAAATACAAGATAGGGCTAGGGATGTGGCTCAGTGGTTGAGTGCCCCAGTACTTAAAATGCATTAGGGTGCAACTAAAAATAAAACAAACTGAATAAAGAGTCTGGGGAGGTATAGGGAAGAGGGAAAAGGAACCAGTTAGATTCACATGCTGAATGTGTCTCTAAGTGGGGAGAGGTAGGAAGGGCGTTCCACATAGAGGCCAGAATCAAAGGTACAAATGGTGCAGAGGACACAATCAGATTTTGACAGCCAACCTTGGAAGGATTTCCTTTATTCAGCCTCTTCCTTACAAGCAGGAACCACACCTCCCAACTTCCTTCTTCTCAAATTATAGGTACAATTTCAAATAACAGAAGAGGTAAAGAAATTAGACTTACTTAATTGAGAGCTACAAAAGATACTTCTCCAATTTGAATAGTTACAAACACCTAGAAACATGGTGAGAGGAGGCCCAGATATCACTGGTTCTGGAAATGCCAAGACAACAGAGATCAAATTTCAAGAACAATGTTTTCTATAGCTTAGTTATAATCAGCTGAATTTTTCATTTTATATTTAAAATTAAGGCAGTTTTTGTGTTCTATTTTGTGTTTGTCGTTTTTCCTCATAATGCAACTTTAGTATATGGCTCTCCTTAAATCACTTGCCCTTGGTGAAATCAAAGTGGAAATGGCCTTCAGAGAAGTGTGCACAAATCAAACGATCCCTTTTCCCCTTTATGGTTATGAACTCCCAGTGGTCAGTTTCCTCATCCGCAGTCTTTCAAATCAGCAAATTGAGTCTTTACTTTGTACCAGGAATTGTCCTGGCATTGAGGAAAAGAAGTTATCAGGATTCACACTATCCCTGTCCCTGCCCTTAGTCCTTATGTGCACTCAACAGGGAGACAGACAACGGAGACAGACTTCAAACAAGTCAACAAATCCAATAATTACACATTGGGATGAGCGCTGTAAAGACTGCTCTGACAGAAAAGTCACGAGTACTTTCTATAGTGTGCTCAGGGAAATTCACTGCAGCACATTTAGGTGGAGACACGCGAGAAAAGGAACCAGTTAGATTCATATGCTTTATGTGTTTGTAAGCTTGGAGAGGTAGAAAGGAAATTCCAGGCATAGAGGCCAGAAGGTGCATCAAACAAAGCGGTAAATGTGTATAAGGACCACATTACATGGGGCCTTTCAGGCCATGCGGAGAAGTCCAGATTTACCTAACTGCAATAGGAAGCCCACAAGAGTTGTTTCAGACAGGTGAATTACACTATCCGTATTTCTTGTTTAAAGATCACTTTGGTCGAACGAGTTGTGCGAGAAAGGTTTTCAATGCAGAGAACCACAAGTCAGATGCAATAATCATGCATTTCTACGGGCCTCTACGCACAGCGACTGGTTAGAACCAGAGGCCATTTCCTTCCCGCTGCGATGTGCCTAGGCGGTGAGTCTGAAGCGCAGCAGACGAGTCGGTCTGATCATGGAATTTCCCTCATCCCTGCCAGCGCCCAGCACACGACTGGTGCCCTGAAACTGTCGGCCAGCGCAATGAATCAATGAATGGCCGGCCGGGGCTGCACAGAGGGCGCTGCCGGCGTAGGACCAGGCCCCGCCGGCTAAAAAAAAGAACACGAAGTGCCGCGCGGGAGGCCGCGAGAGGCGTCCGGCGAGAAAAGTGGGGGCAGGCTCCAACACCGTCCCGGAGAGGTGTTGAGGGGGCCGGGGACTCGCGGGCGGGGAGCAGAAGCGGCTAGACTAGGGCCCGACGCAGGGAACTAGGGGAGGCCGAACGGCGGGGCTGAGGAAGGATGTGGGCCCAGCCACTCACCGCTGCTGTCGCCAGGCTGTGCATGTTGGGGCAGCCGCTGCTCTCCTTCTTTCGTTGGACGCGCCCGACCCGCGTCCCAGCTTCAGCTCCTCCGCCGCCAAGTAAGATGAGCCGCCATCCGCCTCCACTCGCTCCGCCCCCTTCGTTGCCTTCTGACCTCTCACCCTTGACCCCACCCACACAACCTCTTCCCGCCTCCGGGCCTTCGGCCTAGTTAACAGTCCCAGAGTATGTCCTTTACCCCTTGAAAATTTAAGACCAAAAGGACTTCTGTGACCTATTAGTTCCCGCACTCCTCGGAATCAAGCAGGTATCCCTAGCGGAGTGCGTACTCTGTCCCTCCTGCAAAGGCCAGGGAAGGGCGGGAAAAGACCAACAGGCTTGGGAGGACAAGCGTTGCGCATGCCCAACAGGGTTGAGTAGGAGGGAAATGATGGGAGGTCGAAATTGGGAAGGAAAGAAAAGTGATAAGTGCGCATGCGTACTACAGTCACAGCAGGGGCGGGGCTGCCTGGGTTGGGCGTCTCTAGGTGCTGGGGCGGGGCGAAGACGTAAGCGGGGCGGAGTTTGCAGCCGTCGCGCACGCGCCTGGTCTGGTCGCGTCGAGTGTGCGTGCGTGCGTGCGTGTTTGCGTGTGGTCACAGTTCCCGCCATCAGCCGCTCTCGCTGTGTAGGGGGAGTGAGCCGCCTAGCTTTTCTGGGCTCAGTGACCCTTCCTTCTGTACCCCTGGCTCCTCCCCCTCCACGCGGACTCTGTGCTTCCGGCAGGCCTGTTCCGGGGCTTCGGACCCTCAGGCTCAGGTAAGGCGCCCAGGGCAGCTTCTCAATTGAGCCGTTTTCTCTACCCCCCTCCCCCGTGCGGTCCGCCCACTCAGCGTTCACTCTTGTGGAGTTCGCCCCGCCGCTGCTCAGCCGGCCCGCAGCTCCTCTGCACTCTCTGGGTTTCACAGGTACCCTATTTGGGTGTTTCCCCTAGACTTTCTCTCTCCTTTGACCTGATCTGTACTGTCACTTGCTCCTTCTGCATCTCGAACCTGGTCCCTTTTCTCTGGGGCTGTCTTCGTCCGCCCCCTGCCCCCTAGCAAGGCCTGCTGTCTGATTAGGTGACTTCGTTGTCTTATATTCATCAGGTCTTGGACATGATACTTATTCTCTGTCTTGACCATTCTTCATCATTCTCTTAATCGTCTCCATTAAAAGGCATGGAGGGTATTTTTGTCGTGCATTTGCTTGCATCCCATATGTAGCCATCACATCAAGCTGTCAGGTTTACCCATTTTAAGTGATGTCCAAGAAAGGAAATGATAATTGATTGCAAAATGCTGAATTTTGGAGTGATGTTCTGTAGCAGTTTTGTGGTATTGCTCTCCAAATTTCAGCTCTGTGTAAATGCCTCTTTATGGGTGGCAGTGCATGACAAGTCTTCAACTAGGAGAGATATCAAAGAGAGAATGTTAAATAGGCATTGTATATCGTGGGTTAGAGATCAGGGGTAGTCGAGGCTGGATATGTAGATATAACCTGTGTATGAATATATATGTGTATGTTTCTGCCATGTAGATAGTTTTGGATGAGGTGCTTAAAGTGATTGTAGTGGTAGAAAAGAAAGGCACTTAAGATGGAGCATTTAGATATTCTTGATGTCTAATAACTGGATAGAGGGGATGAATCTTGCAAGAGATGAAAGAAGTCATGCATAGTGTCTGCTGAAAAGTAAAATTGAAGCTGGACTGAGAAACGCAGTGACGTAAAAGTAATTAATAGTCTTAGGGATGTTTGGGTTTAGTCCTAGTTCCTCTTTTGCTCTTCCATTCTTTCCTCAGTTTTAAATTCCACCTATGTACTGATGTGTTATGAAGTTTTATTTCCAGCCTATTTTGTTTTCTACTTCATATCCAAATAGCCAACTGTCTGCTTGACATCTCAACTTTTTTCTTAGGAATTTTAAATTGTAACATGTCTAAAACCAAAGTGTTGATCATTCTCTTCATACCCAGATTCTTTCTCCTCCAGTGTCCCGTTTCATTAAATTGTATATACATGTCTTCACTAGAAAATGAGTTATTTTTCCTGCCATGCACACATACCCTCTCCAAGTTCTGTCTATTCTACTTCTACTTCTTGAATCTATTTTTGTACATCTCACTATCATTTTTCTAATTCAAGCTACAGTTCTTCCTACCTGGGCTTTATATTTTTCTGGCTCCCAGCATTCTCATCTATAAAATAGGAATAATAAGTTTGTACTTTACTTGATTGTTATGATGATTAAATGAAATAACCATGGTGAGCACATGACACACATAAATTGGTAAGAATTAATTGTTCTTGTAATTGTTGTAAGTTGAACAATTTCAGTACTTTCCTATCTGATTGCCTAATTTTTTTCTCATTTTTGTTTCTTTCTACTCTCCTTCCTAAACAAACCACATCACTTCTCCACACAACAGTAATATATGCTTTCTTTTCTTGAAACCCTTTATTGTATTTTCCTGTTGCTAAATGCTTATTACATTTAGGATAAAATTTCAAAATCCTTCCTGTGATCTGCATCTGCATAACCTGATTCTTGTTTGCTTTATCTTACACCATCCTTCTTTCTGTCACCTCTAGTAGCCTAGTATACCAAATCATGTTCCAATATAGTGCCTTTGTGTATATTGATCTGTTTACCTGAATTGTTCCAGTGCCACCATCTCCAATCAACTCATTCTTCAATTTTTATCTTCAGTTGTAGTTTCTTAGAGAATAAAAACAGAAAAAAAATCTTGATTTTTTTTTTTTTTTTCCCCTTCTGAATCTTCAGGTCTTAAATCATAAGTTTCATCATGCCCTGTATTTTACTTTATATCATTTTTCAGAACTTGTAATTATAGATTTATTTGTATGTTTATTGGAAGCCTCTCATTGGCATATGAGAGTGATTATTTTATTTTTATTCCTCAAGAATTTGTTAAATGATCATGTATGTAAGAAATTTAAAAAAAAATAATTTGTTAAATGAATAAGAAACTAGAACTTGCTATAAGAATCATCACGTCTACTTTCTGATAGGCCTTGGTAGGTTCAGTGATAGACATACTATGGTTTTGAGGATCTGTTTGCTCACACAAATCTCTTGTGTTCAAATGCATGTTATAATCCTCTGTTTTTGTTTCTGATTTTGAATAACTAGTAGTATTTAATGTAAATCAGGAAGTTAAAAAAGTTGTGTCAACCTAATGATATTCTTATCACGAGAAACACTCTTTTCCATTCTGCAGACAAATTAAAGGATGCATCCAAAAAAGGGGCAGGGTTTCAGTTTTGAAAACTTTTTTTCCAACTCCACCCCCTCACTGGTACTAGCTAGGAATTGAACCCAGGGTTGCTCTATCACTGACCAACATCCTTCCTTTTAAGTTTTATTTTGAAACAGGGTCTCACTAAGTTGCCCATGCTGGCCTCAAACTTATGATCCTCCTGCCTCAACAACCTAAGTAGCTGGGTTTATAGGCATGTACAACCATGCCTGACATCCAACTTTGGGTACTTTTACACCAAATTATGTTCCACTTCAGGGCCTTTGTGTATATTGTTCTGTTTACTTGAATTATTCCAGTACCACGATCCACAGTCAACTCATTCTTTAATTTTCAGTTAAGTTGTAGTTTCTTAGAGAACATAAACTTTTTCTGAGATTTTTGTGTCTCATAAAATTATTCAGATTTTAAACTGCTCAAATTGAAGATAAACTTTGTCTAGACAAACATCCTTCTTTACTCTCAACTTTAACACTAATTTTATCTCCATTGCACATTTGTTTTATGACCTTTTTATTAGGAAAGAAAGCCCTTGGGTATCAGAATAGTGGTGCATATATTTTAACAACAGGTTAAACTATGAGACCAGTGAAGGTGAGGTTTTTATAAGTAAGAAAAATTCATACTTAGGTCAATTCCTAGTGAATGAGAAATGAAATATTAAAATAATTTTTTAAAATAGAACTTGTGTTGAAAAATAGGGAATAAAAAATAGACAATATGCAAATGTCAGGCAGTTGAATTTATTTTCTAAGTAGTGACAAGCTAGGGAAAAAGTTTGAGATGAAATTAGTACTATCAGTCACAAATATTTAGCACTTACTAAATGTTTGTTATTTTGTTAGAATATAAAAGTTCTGTGTCTATGTGTCATTACCCCCACCCCTGCCCGGCCCCTGCACCTTAGGGCGACAGTTAAGGAGACTAGTACATACTTTGAAAATTTTGAAAAAAAAGTATTTTTTCAGAAAAAATATTGTAGTATAAAGGATTCATTGGCAGAAAAATCCTGAGAGAATGGGGACTTGTAAAATGATTTCAATTCACTGATGAGGATGAACTGTGGAAGTGGTTAAAACCGTGGGTTCTTGTCAGACACATAGCTTTGTGTCTTATTGATTCTGTATTCATAAATTACTTAATCTCTCTAAGCCAGTTTTCTCATTGGTAAATTAGGTAATTTAGTAATGATCCTTGTCCTTTAGTGTTATTGTGAAAATTAAATGAAGTAATGCATGTATGGCACTAAGCACTGTGCTTAGTAAATGTTGCATAATGCATATTTAATGCATTGATGGCAAAATGATGACTTTCTGAATTAGGGTAGTAACTATGAAAAGATTGGGTTTTAATATTAAACCTGATGTTAAGATTTCTTGCCTATATGATGGTAGAAGGAGAAAAGTATGAACCTTTCAATGAGGCCTTGGACTGCATCTTCTCTCTCTTTCTCTCTCACTCACTCTCTCTCTCACACACACACACATACATGTACATATATATATATACACATACATATACATACATATATATTCCTACCACTTTGTAGTTTACTCTGAGTACTAAATGATCAGATTTTTAAAGTTGATGTTGTTGCATTTAACTAGGCAGTGAAGGATGTTTGGGTAGAATTTCAGGGCAAGTTCAGGCTTTAAAAAAAGGTCTAATTGAAAAATAGGTGTTTTATTTTTTAAATTTTGGAAACAATTTTACTCACTTTATTTGTGTAAACACATCATGAAAGTGATGTTTTAAGACTAAGATGTCATTGTAGCAGTGTTTATAAAGACAACAAAGGCTATACTTTTGCTCAGGCTTCTTAGTTTCAAAATGTAGCAGGAATAAATAAATCAAAACACAAGGTGATCAAGGTGCAGGCTCCTCTGTAGTCCCTTATTTACCACAGCAGATACGTTCCTAAAATTGTTGATGTGCATGCCTGTATGTGCATCATTTTAAATATTTTCAGTAAGTGATTTGTGGTTTGTAAATCATTGAGGGGTTAACTGTTATATAAATGATAAATTTCTTCTTTCTTAAGTTTTAATTTTGTATATTGAATCATTTTTAAAAAGGCACACTTATATTTTCTTTAGCTGAGTTGATGGCT